GAACCAGGAAAACGGGCCGTAATCCTCACCGCGCGTACCGACGGAGAATGTAGCAGCGAAAAGGTTAATAATCCTATTCATTAGCAAAAAGCCTAGGTCATTAGCAAAAAGAAAAAATTCAACATCCTGTATATCAGTAACAGTAACATCATTTTTAAAAATTAAAAACATTAGGGGAGCCAGGTGGGAACCTTCAGGTACCCCAGATAAAACATGTATGGGTTCAGAAGTAGCATTTCTAACAGACATATACTGTACACGACCCAACAAATAATGTCTAAACCACTGAAGTACAGTTCCGCATGTACCGAAATGATATAACTTACAGAGAAGAATGGAATGATTCACTGAAACGAAGGCCTTACAAAAGTCTGTATAAATATTGTACACTTTAAAATTATCCTCCATTCCATTGAATATATATTGAGAGTAATATATGAGATTGGCATCAATATTCCTTCCACTAATAAAACCAAACTATCTCTGACAGAAGTGGACAGATCAATTCAATTTATCAACAATAATTGATTCAAATAGTTTAGGAATTACATTGAGAATTGTAATTGGTCTATAATTAGAAAACACCTCTTACCACTAGATTTGAAGATTGGTACACTGTATGAGGATTTTCACTTTGTTGGAAACAAACCTTCAAATAAGGATTTATCAAACAGAACCTTCAGCAATTGGGAGAAGACAAATTTACATTTTTTAACAAATCCCATTAGGGATTAGTTAGATCCCAGTAGGGATCCCATTAGAATCAGTTTTCCCTTTCATGTCAAGTTTATCAATTTTTTTAAGTCCATCAGAAACACCCAAATCAATGGAGTTCAAAACATAGGGCGATCTAATAAGATTTATATTATCTACCTGACTTGAGTGATGAATATTAAAGGAGGAGAAATAACTTGCAAATCCATTTACAATAGGCTGAGTATGTGCATAGACAACTGAACCCATCTTTGAGTCGGGCAAACCTCTGCTAGTCTTCTTCGAGTTAATGTATTTGCAGAAATTTTTCTTATCAGTCATATGTTGCGTGAGATTCTCATTAAACCTCGCATCACTTTTTGCTTGGCTTTTACATTTATATCTAAGATTTGAAAACGTATGTATTTTTTAAAATATCTTTCACACTTTTAATATGCATTTTCAGTGACATATACATTATTATTTGTCAGTGGAAGTACTTCACATGATTTCCAATAAAGTTTTTCGAAAACAAACTTTCTGTGAATTACAACAAAATTTCCTTTTTTTTAGGACAAGGTTTTACTCTTCCATAACATCCTGTCTACTATTAGGAAATCGAAAATTGAGAAAATTTCAAAACACTTTGGGCAGGGATAGATGGCAGCTAGCAGAGTATGTGACAAGTCAAAAAAAGTTAGCCCATACGTATACCAAAAAAATTAGGAAACCAAATAGTACAATTGCGATTCTGTAGCACCACTAGTTTTCTGAGATTGTGGGTCGATTTTTTTTTTTTTTTTTTAATTCTGGACCACTTAAAATGGAATGACCCAGAGGTATTGTTAAACATTGACAAAACTAAGGCAAGCAATACAAAATAAGCATTGGCAAAGACAGCTCAACAAGTGTTATTTTATTCATAACACATGTCCTCACACAGCTAATCGTACCCGAGAGCTCCTGATCACCCTTCCTTGAGGTGTTTGATCACCCACCGTACTCTCACCTTTAATATGCACATTAATATGCATGGCGGAAAGCAATTACCACCTCTTTCCAGCAATGAAGACCTGATTTGCAACAGTGCTTCGACAGTGATGTAGAACTTCACGCCGGTGTAAACCAATGCTTGTCATCTAAGACGACAAATTTCTACATAGATGGAATAGAAAAGCTTGTACATTGTTATAAGAAGTGGCTTAATTTTAGTGGCAATTATGTAGAAAACGTTTCACATTAACTCTTTCAAATAAATAGTTGTTTTTTAAATTTTATTTTATTTTTTATTATTATTATTGTTATTGTTGTTGTTATTATTATTATTATTATTATTATTATTTCAAAACTTAAATTGCTGGAGCACTTTCTTATAATCTTCATTATAAAATAATAATATAACTATGTTCAGTGTTTTAAAAATGTATTTATTTATGTTTATTACAATAAACTAACTGAAGCGGGGTCTTCAATATCTCGAAAGGATTTATCTCAAATCTGTCAGCTACAACATAGCTGCATTAAATCTACACTTATCTTCTATAACAGATATAAATTCTTTAGTATATCAATGAGAAATAATTACCTTTGCTTTGCTCACAAGGAATTTGTTCACAGGTAATGATAAATCAACTTCGGCACTTGCACTCAATTTTGGATGAGATTTTAAATCACATTTTGTATTTTCAGTACTTTGCAAGGCGGATTCACGAATTTCAGGTTTGTCCATGACCCTAAAAATATTACAATATCGTTAGTATTGCTAAATAATTATTACCGAAGAAATAATATGTAAATAAAAACAGTTGGAAAAATGGAAATGCATGATGCAAATGTTGCCTCCTGAGAGATGAAAGATTATTATTATTATTAGAAAGAGATGAGGCAATTATTATTTCATGAAAAGTAACTCCCCGTAACTCAATTGCAAATGCCTCTATTGCTTCCTGGTTTATACTGCAGTTTTTAATGGGATTCCTGCACAGACAGATACTTCCCCATTTAAAAACATTTTAAACTGTATACTAGACCTTAAGGTTTTTCCATCGTAAAATCTTTCCTTGTTCCACATTAATAACAAAATATTATTTATTATTAAATAATTATTTGGATTTTGTAAGATATGGTTGGTTTGAATGTTCAAACCGTTGTATAGAGCTGTGACCTAATAAATCACAACATTCAGAGAAATACAATAGAAGTTATCTTCTTGGGTATTTCCTTTAGGTGAGGTTTTGTTAGGTTCTTTATTTGTACCTTTCATTTTATTACTAATTTCTTAATCTTTTGTATCTCAAACAGGAGAAGTGGAGGAAGTATTGCCAACGTCATAGAATCATACACTACCAACTTAAATAGTGAGTGGTGTGAATAAATATCGGAAGAAAAAAAGAAAGAAAAAAAAAAAAAGAAAGAGAGAGAGAGAGAAAAGAAAAGAAAAAACAAACAAACAACAACTTATTTAAGAATAGCTTTTTGAACCATGTATATTAAGCAAACATTCATGGAAGTTAAAATAATCTTACCCTCCTTTTTGAAGAGAGTTCAGAACATCTCTGTCCCGCATTTTTTGAGAGAATGACTTTTGCTGTTGTTTTTCCCTTAACATGGCCTTTAGATTTGGATTACTAGGGAAATCTTGCCCCTTCGAAAAGCATAATTTAGATTGAGACAGAGAATCAAGTTTCTGTTTGTCCTTTGCACACTGCTTCCTATTGACAGTTGCTGGAATAGGAGTCGCCATAAAACTTTGACCTCCATAAAAAACCTGAAAATTTGAAATTATACTTTTGTCAGTAAAACAGAAAGATCATGCACTGGAAAACACATAATGATGTAAATTGAGATTTATTGAATACATATTCTCTCTACATCAACCTTACATCACTCATTAACTGAAACAAATTTCCCAAACTTTTCCTTTTTTTTTTTCTCTCCTCAGTCAAAATTAGTAATTTGACACTATTTAAAGAAAATATTAAAGCACGCCTGAAACTAATGTGTCAGCACTCTGATTTTGCCATGATGAAGTACAAATGTAAAAAACTCAACACATCTAAATTGAGAATTTAAACATAAATCTGCACAATTTTTTCAGGAACATTATTAAGTTTCATAGCCATTAAAATGATCGACGACTTCTATTGATTCTTCCATAAATTTCCTAAATTTTCCAAAATGTGGCCACCCTGACAAAACATTTCAAAAGGCATTCACATTATTCTACAGTAATTACCTACTGGTGTAATTAAAGTAGTACCTAAAGAGAGTTAGGACAGGTAAGAGAATGTCAAATTGCTGTCGTTATAACTTGAACCAGGATGTCTTAACCTTCATGTAAAGCAATGTATACAAAGTTTCAGGTTGACTGTTCTCGATAGTAAGCTTGCAGCATTCCAGTACCACATTAAATATACATAACTGAACATGCAGAACAAGTTTACACAAATCTCTTGAAAAATTGCAATAGTTGCACATGTTATGAATATAATTTGTTATAAATATAGCATGTACAAAAAAATAAAGCTAAACAATAGTCCCTGTATCGCATGGTAAAACACTAGTTTGTTTCCTGAAGTCGTACATATACATTTTAAGGTAATTTAAACTCTATACCATTGAGTTTACAGCACCTAAAAATGCCTTTTTGAATGTTAAAATTTATTTTATGCCCTTCTTACTTCTAAAACCCCAAAAAATGAACATATTTCACACAAATTTTATATCTACAGCTTATTTCATTTTGCTACATATTGTGCATAAAACAATGATTATATTGTTACATTTCATTAGTCTACAATGTATAGCCCTAATATCTTACCATATCTTCAAGATCAAGGGCTCTGATACACTACTTCCTCAGATTTGCTTAAAAGTAAATACTAGATGAGCTTGCCTCAGCTTCTGGTAAAGAGATATCCATGAAAGAAAACAATTGTTGCAGTTACAATGGGTGGCTCCAGCTGTTGATTGATCTTAGGATTCTTTTATTTGAACTTTAACCATTATCTTGACTCTGTAATACACATCACATTATCTTCAGAAGCCACCAATAAGGCATTGTGGGGTAAAATATTGAGGTTTTTGTACATATTCCATAATCCAAGCAGTTAATATATTCACTAGATACCATTCTACACTTCGAGTTCTGCTGCCTCAAGCTATTGAATTCATGTTCGTGCAGCATGTTTATTTGTGTTTCTTCGTCATTTGGCTGCAACTTAAATCTTCAAATTGAGGAAAATAGTATACACATCCTTCAGCTTTTTAAAATTGTTTCAGTCTTTACAAGACGTCTGTAAGGTTTTTTTACTTTTCACATTTACAGGGTTCTGTAGAACAAGGGACTTCCCTCCATTGTCCTAATAGTTCAGAGATATTGAGGGTTTTACTAGAACTTTCATAAAATAATTCAGATACGGTGGATTAGTACAATCTTTCTGGAATACTTTTTATAAATATCAAGGGAACTTTCTGCAAATAATAAGAAAAAAATATTAATATCTTATTAAATTTTTTGAGTTTACAACTGTTCTTCTTTTACCAACATTGGTTCTGTCCTTTAAATATCCCTTTTTTCAAGAAAGACTTAATTAGTCCAAATAAATATTCTTTTTGAGTATTATAATTATCCAATTTACAGAAATTACAAAACATCTTTTTCATCATTCGAAAATAACTTCAAAGTACACACATTTATCTTGGACAACAGTTCATGTCAACATGCATTTTCACTGGCACTTTTCTTCTTTAAGAAATATATTCTTCTCCACAATTCCTTACCTTCTTTCCAACTTTTTCTTTCTAGTTTTCAGGGTATTGTTTCCTTTTTATTTGAGGTTTTATCCAAAGGATGAGGATTCCCGTCTTCTATAACCTCTGTCATCACTGTAACAATTTTGTTCGGGCTTTCGATGATGCAACCCTAGGTTTAATTTCTGGTGAGGTAAAATTATAGTGTGCATTTTCCTTGCAATGTCCCAGTGTATGTTGCTGGGTGACAATGAGAAAATTCACATTGCAGTTTGCGAGGACTAGAATTCAGCATGGGGATGTCTTTGTGCCAACCACATGTACCACCTTAACCCTTAGCTGCAAGGCTGGAATGTCGCTGGTAGGCCCATACATGAGCCAACGGTGCCAAGTACAAAAGAAAAATATTTAAAGTTATATTTAATGCTAATAACTCAATTTTACAAAAAGGATGTGGGATGATGCCTTGTTCTACTGGTATAAAATTGGAAAACAATACACGAAAAAACTTCAAACAAAGTAAGCCACACCAGTGTGGGTGGGCAAAAATCCTAAAAACAGCTGTAAGAAATGTACTTCTTAAAGACAATCTTTGCACTTTAACACCTCCATTACACATTTGTCAATTTTCTCCTCTGGAGTTTTTAGTACAATGAAACTTCGTTTTGCACTTATACATTTTTAATGTTTATAAGTTTCCTTTTGGAAGTCTCGGTTAAATTCCTAATCTTCCCGAACTAAATTATTTCAGGTATTACATATATTCTGCAACCTCCATCAAAGTAATGCTTGTGTGCACAGGCCCTACATGACAGTGTTAAACTACGAGACACATTTAAGTGATCATGCACGCAGGCATCGACGCAGGTGATGTTATCAGCGTTAGGTGACGCAACAGCGCAACGCTCTTGTGACAAAAAGCCTTCACGGAAATATTGAAATTCGAAGGAATGAAAGATGTTTAATAACATTATAAGGCAGGCTGAATAAAGCGTGAATACCAGCACTCACTTTTCGACCAGGCGTGCATATGCGTGACCCACATTTTCTTCTAAGTAACAAGTAATGTACTTCAGCTTCCTTCGTGTTTTCACCCTTTTTCTCTGATCCATTGGGCAGAGAAAGTGCTGAGATGCTACCTTATTTTGCTTCCGGATATAAATGTAGCTGCACTATGCACAAGTTTTGTTGAGCTCACCTTTTGCTAGTAAGTTGGTAATAGTAGAGCTGGGGATGTGTTTCTATTTTGTTACCAATTAAAAATATCTGCAGTTTGTTTAATGATGCAAGTAAATTTTCTACAACTTGGGCCTTAAAATGCTTAGTTTTCTGCTGGTAGTTAACTTCGCTCTTATTCATCATTCAATTCTTTATAGTCAAAATGATGGGCAGACATTCTGGAGCTCAAGGAAATGTGCACAGATGGTACCTCTCCCTCATACTTCACATTCAGTTTTTACTGTTCTTTGACTAAATAAATCGAAAGTCATGTTGGTAGGAGTTCCTGCGAGCAGGTCCAAGAGTGGTGCACGAAAAAGGTAAAAACATTGAAATTTTATCTCATAATATTCAATTTCAGTTATGCACTTTTATCACTTCTACATTTTTTACCCTAGTCCCCAGATAAACATACCGGTAAGTAATATTTATTTCCTTTTTTGCAATCACAAGAAAGAGTCAAGGCAATTTTAATGCAAGTTTTTATATTCATTTGCAGTGATTAAATTCCATAAATTAGATCATCATTTCATAAAATATATCAGCTGACAGAATAATGACTCGGGTCAGAATAATGGCTCATATATCAGCTCAGGTCTTGGTAAAACCAATGGTTAGGCATTCTAGGGTTAACCTGTACTTCTATTAATAAACTTATTACCATACGTATACTCTGAAAACTCATTAAAACAAACATTGATATACCACAAATTTCAGTTTTACTATGGGTAATTAGTAAAATAATTTCACTTTAATGAATTTTCCCAGTTGTATTTGCAAATGGTAGAGCTATTTGCATCATCCAATGGAAGATGTCATGAAGATGTGATGAATTAAATGAGTAGTTGTGCAAAGTTTACAAGTAACCAACGGACATAATGTTTTTGTATCTCAACCATACTACACCATTTTCAATCATATTCATCAAAAATGCATACATTCTCTATACTAAAAAAAGTTTTTAAATTCAATTTGAATTAAAAATTGCGTTAAAAAAAAATAGAAGAAACCTCTTTAAATAATTATTTCATATTCCATCAAATAAATACTTTACACTTTGCATTTGTAAATTCACATTGAAGTAACTTAGATTTTGCAATGAATAAAGGATAGTATGCATTCTAAAGAATTTAATTTCTTTAAAATTTCACAACAAAGTAATTACTGAGGTCCTCACAATTTCATTATACTGGTATTTCATTGCATTAATACTTAGCACAAATGGAGAACCTATCTTTAAAATTACTTGAAGCCACAACTCATACAATTCTGAATAGATCAATCTATCTTGCAATCATTTAGAGTGAGTGTATCCTAATTTATGTCGTTTACTAATAATCATTGTAATAACATTTTTGTACCTCATTTTTGCCCAATACTTTATTTCTCAAAGCAGTAAGGCCATTTCCCAACCCAGTGGATTGCAAATCTGAACGTCGAGAGCACTTCTTGTATTCTTGCTGAACATGATATATGCAAAATGAACATTTACTTATATTCACAAACGCAGAACAGGGTTCACCATTCTTCTTCCTGAAGAAAAAAATGAACATAATCAATGCAGTCTTTAATAATACAAGAAAACTGAAGGTCACAAAGGCTTACTTTGCTTTGCATATTCCATAATCTTTAGAAACTCCCAAAATCATGACTTTCTGGGCATTATCAACAGAAATTGTGGCTTCATCACTGTCTTTACTGCAAAGGAAGAAGGATATTATTTAACATGCATTATACTGACTACTTCGCAACACAATATAATATTTGACCATTCATCATTCAATGCTAAATCTCAAAACAGAATTTGTGAGTGCAACTCTTGCACAAGGCTCTGTAGGAAAAACCTCAAAAGGTATACAATATTTAAATCTTTCACATGGCATTAAATTCCAAAAGGAAATAAAAACAAATTAAATCAAGCAAATTATGACCTGATAATATATCTAGCAATGATTTCAGAACAAAGAAATTGATATAATGACTATCCATTTTTATTACCTGTAACCAAAATCTGAATGATTATACCAAAATAAGTTATTCAAGTGTTCTAAATCTCCCACACTCACCATTAATAATAATAATAATAATAATAATAATAATAATAATAATAATAATAATAATAATAATGTTTTGTAATGTAAGTAATATTTGAACTAATCTTTGGCTTACTATCTACAAAGCAGGACACCTTTTCAAATTTAAATAAAATTTTTAGGTCTTTGGAATTTTTACAAAGAAGAAAAAATATTGTAATATTCTAGTATTGTATCATAATATTTTATTACAATACTATCAGTTAACATATTTGATCTAATAGTCTCATTTGATAATTCTCTAATTATGAATTGCAATAAGATGTCTTGCAATATTTAAGTTGTAAGTTTTGTACCTTGCACTAAAACAATACTTTATAAAACAAATTTCATATAAATTTAATACCTGTCTTCCATAACACGAGGGTTTAGTATACCCACCACAGTACCAATTGCAGTTTTCCATAAATTTTTATGAGAATTTCGAAAGAAAAAAACTGATACAGTTTTTAAGTCTCCTTTCAGGTCACTAATTTTCCACACACAGTACTGAGAACCCTTAAATAAAACAAACAATCAAAACTACAATTCTAAATATAATAATTATCAGGTACACTTGCTACTTAATTTCTATTTTGACACAGCAGTTAGTCCTTACTTTTTGTGAAGTTCTAATGGGAGACTTCTGCACAACTATTCCAGCGATGACCCAATCACTTTCAGTACCACCATTGGCAATATGACGTTTAATATTAGCCATTGTCACTGCCGTACGCCCCATCATTTTTTCTTGTAACTGTCTAGATGTTATTAAAGGGTTACTGAAATATCATGCAAAAATAGTATTACTTTTTCTTACAAATTAAAGCAAAATATAGGAACATCTGAAAATTCCATCCTTATTAATAATTAATGTTTAAATGAAGTGAAATGACTTGATAAAATGACAAAAAAATCCTTTGAACATGTTCCTTTGGAAGAGAAGTAAAGACTGTATGCTCTTATGTTACAGTTTTATGGAATGTCAAAGTACCTGCCTCTGAAATTCTAAAAATTCTTTATCACCCAAGTAACATCTTCATTTGCTTTCAAATGGCACTGCAGTGATAAAAGAACTAGTGATGGGTGTTAAAGAAGCATAACAAAATTCTAAGCTTGAAGTGAGAGCGCGAGGACACACCAGTGAATGGCTTTCTTCATCAATTGTCAACAAATGGATGAGAGCTGCTCTTTAAAATGGCTGCAGCTTTACTCTGAAATGTACGCATTAAGAAATGGATCATTTACCGTTTGAAAGCTGTTGTTTCATTCTCCTCTCCCAACAATAAGGACCCATCTTAATTTCTATTTAAAATATTTCACTTGCAGCCTCTTGAAAAAAGCGCAATCACCTTATTGGATTCAAGTAGAGAATACTCATCTGTCTGTCACACATCATCGTCATATAATGACAATCCCACACTAAACTCAAACGACTTTCCCAAAATTTCTCCACAAGCTTCCTAATATGGCATGGCAAGTGGCCAGTCACTCATGAACTTAAAGGTTACACCAAAGCTGATCAACCTTTTTATCCACTTTAACACAACTGATTGATTCTTAGGTGTGGTTATAGTAGTAATTACAATGATGCCAATAATAATATGGAAAACTTAAGATGGACAAATATTTCATCAAAAAATGATTATTTACTTTCTAAAAGTCTTGTGAAATTATGTTAAGCCTGACATAGCATGCTCATTGCAACACGAGGAAAGTGTGGTGTGTAGCTAGAACATGACGCCCTTCAGTTTTAAAACCTTTGAATAACATTTAAAGAATATTTGAGGATTTTATTGAATTTTTTAATTTAATTTATAGAAGAACGATTCTTTTATCAGAGATGCAATGCAGCTGCTTCTAAGGCAGTTACAGTAAATCCAGAGAAGCATCCTTAGATGTGCCAAAGCTTGACCTACCTAGATTTGGTTCTTTTCCTACAGACAGTATGGACCTTGTGTGGCCTACTGGCTCCACACAATTTCTTGTTCTTCCAAGGGGCAAAGGTCTCCGGGGAGACACCTAAGCTTTTCGCCTTTATCCGCAACCCCCACCAGCACACAAGTGCACTGACAGGCTGGTATCTGGATCCTACCAGAATGCAGTTTGCCCTCACAGAAACCTTCCCATTTAATGCTTGGGTGGGTCCGGCCTGCCAGCTTCTAGCTTTCCAGGCTAGTGCCAGAGTCAAAGCAATTCACCACACATATGAACTGGGACAATTCCCTTCTCTTTGTTCAGAGTATTACCCGCCCCTTCCCGTCTCCACACTGCCTACACATTTAGGTTGTTGACGTAAATACCGCCAGAACCTAGGCAACCTGACAGGGTATATGGTCCACGCCAGACTTTAATGTGGGATCCGGAGCATTCCGACGAACGTCTTTTGCCCAATCGTGCCAGGGGCCCAACTGGTGGGTTACAGGACAAGGCCTGGCAACACAGAGCTTAGCATTGCCTCTTCAGTGTCTCCATCTTAAAGCTAACAGCGTGTTTCCACAAAACTCAGGGTCAAGGTGGTCGTCTACAACTCTCCGCCATAAATTGAGCCTACCTATGCAAATGCATTTCCCCCTGCAGAGACTACCTATAGACAAGGTAGATAGTGATAAAGACAATGCTGCAAGTTAGGATGAAGTCCTAATGCCATGGATTTAGGGCGAGGTCCTCTAAAAACAAAATACGAGGCCAATAAAAGAGCTTGGATGACTTGCAACCTTCTTGAGGCAAATGTATGCTCTTGGTGCAAAGATGGGAGTGCAGAACAGAAGAATTCTTTTATTTGTTGATCAGTGCTCTGTACATCCAAAGAGAATGTGTTCTTGTGGCTCAGTGGCGAAGTCGCTTGCCTTTCACCACTGAGGTTCTGAGTTTGATTCCCATAGAATCTCCGTAGAACCTCATGTGAAACTTGTTATGACAAATTAATTTGCATGCTTCTCAGGGGTATTCCAACCCCTATGAAATGTCCTAAACCCTACCTCTATCCTAATTCCTTCCCAATTCTGGCCGCTTGCAGGAGCACTTAAGCTTGCGTGATGCAGGAGCACTTAAGAGGCATGTACGCGGAGATGCTACCTGACAGGCCTCTCGTCACCCGACTGCGACGCGACATTACGTTAAATGAGAGAATGTTAATGGAGAATTACTCCTATAAATAGTATGATTATTAATGGAGGATTACTCCCAAGTGTCAAGCGCTCAACGTCCCCCCAGGCTTAGAGACGCGTTCTATCAAATCAGAGAGAGAGAGAGAGAAAAAAAAAAAAAAGACTCTTGCTAACATGAACATCTTTTTTTTGTTATGTGCAAAAAATCTTAAGTTATTAAATTTCACAGTTAAAAATATGTGCAATGTGTAGCATACAACACATTAAAAATGAAAGAATTTTTAAAAAGCTAAAGCCACTTTGTTTTCTATAAGGAATAAATAAGTCATTAACCTCATGTAACATACTTACATCATTCTGATACCAAAAACAGGATCACTGTAGACATCCAACTTCTGTTGAACAGTTTTGTTGGGTGTTTTCATACTCTCTACTTGAACTTTGGACTTCCATGTTGTATCTGTACTTCTTGATTTTGTTTCTCCCAGGAACAGAGACAACTTCCCACTTACTTCATTGCTTTTAATGATTTTTCTTATATTTCTCCCACAATCATTATACTTTTGATTTTCAAAATTACGATTATCTTCATCATCTGATGAATCAGTGTCTCCAAAGAGGTCTTTTGACTTGATGTCTGTTTCAGCACCTGCTAAAAAATGTCAATGGACATGGTAATGGCTATTCAGTGGCAGAAGGGTACATTGCATGAAGTTGTACATACATAACTTATTTAAAAAAACAGAACGAGAACTAGAACTAGCAATTCTAGTCCAAGATCCGACACTCGAGTCAAAGTTATTTTTTGGCACATATCAGATAGAAAAAAATAAGGGAATATTAAATCAAATTATTGTAACTTAAGATACTAGATAATGAGTGGATCAGAAAAGCAAATAAATAATTTGAGTTCAAACAAAATTATTTTAAATCCAGGAGATTCAGCACTTAGATTGATTTTCTTTTTTTCCAAATACTATTGATTAAATACTTCATTTTGAGTCATAATTGCCTTCATTAGTATGCTTCCACCTAATAACTTTCTTTACATCAGAAAATTATTCTGAAATGCAGAAATTGCTGAAATGCATCTGATTATGTATTGGCTAGGCTACTGATCCAAATTTTAGAAGCAAATAGTGCACAGAATAAAAGCAACAGCCAATACTTCCTACAAGTGAAGTGACAAAATTGTGATCTTTGATTGTGACAGCCCTGTACCACACATTCAATTATCTTTAGATATATGGAACATACAGAACACTCAGTTATTTTAAAGAGCGATAATAAATAGTACTAGTTCTAAATATAAAACAGAAGCTTGAACTTGCTACAGTACCTTGCAACTGGATGGAATTCTCTTTAGTCTCACCGGGTTCAGGGTCATCCAATAACGCTTCCAATAGATCTAACTCACACTCATCACCATTATCCTCTTTCACATCCGTCATTATGGAGTTGTTTTACACGAACTTTTGTAGAATTGTTAACGTAGGTGTTCCACCAACTAGACGAATAATGTAATAATACTCGTAGGGGTAGACAACAGAAATGGTAGATATATATAAAAAAAATGTTACTTAGTCTTCAATCAGGGCTGGCTTTCCTTCACCCTGTTAGAAAGATGGCAAGAATAAGGTTCACCAAGGCAGTCTAAAGATGTCTAGGCTATTTTAGACTGCCTTGGTTTCACTTGTAGAGGAAATACAATATATCCGATCAGTTCTTTTTCTCCACACCGACGTAAAACCTCAGGAGAACAAACAGAACCCAAGAGCCCAACAGGAACACTTCCTAGACTTGTCATAGACCGACGAGCCCCGAGACCTGTCCCCCAGCCCCGGCTTTTTCCCAATCTGTTCCCGCCGGTTCCCGCTTAGTCAGCTTTCCCGCGCATTGTAAACTATATTGTCCAATTAAAATATAGTGACACTCCAACGTCACAAGCATTGAGATAGCAAGTAGGGAAGGAGAGGAGGACTCTCTATTGGTCATCTCGCCCAATAGAGATGACCACAACACGTGGTGTCAACAGGTGTCTACAGCCAATTTGTCGAAGAAGCGACCGTCGGGTCAACGAAATTGAAAAATGGACAAATCATATATATGCCTACTCAAAGCAAAAAAATTCCTATAATCCAGTTTTAGCTCTTAATTTTATGACTTAAATGTAGATATACACGCAAGAAACCTAAAATAGTATCCCAATGTTTTTTTATAAAAATACATTTTGAGTTACACGAGTTTCACTTGTGACACTATCTCAATTAATATTAAATAATTATTTTTCCAGAAAAGACTGCTGCATTATGTAAACCACTTTTTTTAAGAAGTAAAGTGTTAAAAAAAATTCAAAATTAGAAATAATATTTTACAATTATTTTATTTTACTTTATTTTGAGTGCATCCCTTCAAATATTGTATAATAGAATGTTATACGGGTTCACATAATGAAGTGAAAAATAAGCTGTAAAATACCGAAATAATCATTTAAATGTCTCTATTAGTTCTTGAGTTATGATGCATTTCATTAATCAATACGCAAGGGGAAAAAATCAGAAGTAATAAAAGGTTGCATACCTATAGTGCCCCTACAGCATAAGTTACTCCTTCCCTTCCCTTATCTTTCTTCTTCCTTTTCCTTCCTCACAAGTACTTTCTCCTGCTTTTGTTCTCTGGTGTTTTCTGTTGAATAGTTATGTTGTTGTTGTGTTTTTTTAAATTTCCAATTACTAGTTGCAATTACAAGGAGGCGTTGACAAATCCAAGAATGCGTGGCAGCGACTCCATCGCGAAAATAATATATATCTCCGATAATATTGCGGACAGAAACTAGTGGTGAAGTAGGCTTCCGCGGCCAGTCATATGCGTGATCTGGGCTGTCCAGTTGACACCGCGTCGAAGGCTGTGTTGCCGACGTTTCGACCATCCTGTCGTGGTCTTCCTCAGGGCTGGTATGATAATACCAGTATGTACTGCCAATTCTACTCACAGCTCAATTTAGTCTAGCTGAATTCCTAAATATTTGCAAGACGTGACTCGAGGTTTAACATTATTGTCCAATTGGTACGCAGATTCATTGTAACTTCGGCCCCTACCAAACGTGATGGACTTGCTCTTTGAACTATTTCCACGCCGTTTGTTTCCGCCCAGATATGTAATTTGTCGAAGTGTCGCTGCAAGATATCCTCGTCCTTCTCAGAGTTAATAATCCTTTAAATTACGCAGTCATCTGCAAAGAGTCGTACATTTGAAGCTAAATTTGTCAGCATTTCATTCAGGGAGGTAAGAATGAGTGGTCCAATGACACTTCCTTGTGGAATTCATGACGTGACGTTTCTCTAAGTTGATAAGTAACTTCCGATTTGCACCTTCTGTTTCGAAGTAGTTCGTTTATCCATGCTACCACTTTAGTGTCTATACCTGAATCTATTAATTTCTGTATAAGACGATGGCATGGAACACCAAAAGTTATGGTAAAATCTGTTACTATCGCGTTGATCCTTTTCCCCATATCAACTAGTGCATTGGCTAGGTCCTGTAGAAGTGGAACTACTCGTATAAGACTACGAGTCAGCTTTCAATCCTCCGGTACGCAAGCGTTGTATATAGACACATTAAATTCAATATGGAGAATAGCCTCTTCACTTAATTTAACGATGTCCGTAGAAATACAATTTGAGCCTCGTGATTTTCCTATCTTCATTAATTTTATTATTTTCCGCAAAGTATTTATAGCAAAATGAAAAAGACTTTTATCTGCCTGCGATGATATCTGAATACTGTCGGGTTTCCGATTGAAAACAGTTAAAATATGCGTTAAAAGCTTTTGCTTTTTCTCTGTCGCCCGTTATTACGAACAACTGAAATCTCTTTATTCCCTTCCTTCTAGGAACGTATGTAAAAAATACCGACCAATTATTACTGCCCTCAGCATCAAGAATATTTCAAAAGACGTTCCACTGCCATTTTTTTTTCTTTAAGGCTTTTGAATAATTTCGAAATAATGTCATATGATTTTTACTACGTTGTCAGTTGCTAAATGTTTCTCTTTTCAATCGTCCAATCTTTGCATTATAATATCCCGGATCGCAGTTATTTTGTAATAATTTACTCGGTACAAAAGTCTATTCAGCATTTACTAGAATATTTTTAAATGCTCCCCAGAATTCATCCATTCCTCCTCCTACTCTAAGAAACTCGCCATATCGTTCTCTTAAGTAATTTTGAAACCATTGTACATTCGCTTTCTTGAATTCCCTCACTAGAATACCGGTGGAAATACTTTTCCTTCAAATACTGAACTATAAATCGACTTAAACGGCTTTGTAGTAAATTACACCTTCTATACCGTCGCACGACAAGAATAAGTGTTTCGGTCTTTCGATCTCGCCGTCAAGAGCATTTTTCTACTAAGTAAAATCACCAATAAAATTGCTGTTTTGGAGAGTTGCTTATATCAGTATGAAGAACACAAATTGTACCAGTTTAGCCCAGTAGCTGGTAATACAAATAGAAAAAAGAAACGGAAAGATTAACCACCCCAAGTCAATTTCTTTTAAGCATTCAAGACTTCTCATTTTAATTAAAAATAATAAAAGTGCTACAATTTTTACCAATATACTTTATTTCTATTTAACAAATACTGAATTCCTAATAACAAGAAAATATAATCTAAATAAACAACAAATGTACAAAATTATCTGTGCTTTTCACATAATTATCAACAAATCAAAGGAACCAACATATGTCATCACAAAAGATTATTAATAATAAGTAGGAACAATTTTCCTATAAATATTAATTAAGTAATAATCTTTGCAGATCAAATTATACAAAATTCAAGCATGCAAAAATAAATCATGTACAATTAAAATACTATTGTTTGAATACTCAAGAGCTGACAAAAACAACAAAAATGATTACCATTACATAAATATTATAAAAAATACAGAAATATTTGTGATTTTTCTCCCATAAAAGGGTAAATTGAATTTTTTTTAAATTGTTACATAATCAGGAATTGATAAAAGAAAGTGTTACACAATGGAAAGAAACTCTGTTGTATTCTTTATACAAATTGTTGAAAATCTCATTTCAATATTACAAGACTCTTCTCAGTCTTGTGCAAATCACTCACTCATTCATCACTGAACAGTTATCACATTTTTAAATACACAAAAAATGAATTCACAATATTAATTTCAATTAATCATCTAACTTACTTCATATTGTTGACTTTTTAACTTAAAATCTCTTGATTTCAATAAAATTCTTGGTAGCACATGACAAATCACTGCTTGGTTAGGGCCTCAATTTTAATGAATTTAATACTATTTTAATTCTAGAATGCAGGTAAGATGACAAACTTCAAAAACTAAGGGTTGTGTTTAATTAATAACACAATTATTACACAAGAGAAAAATTACTTCTGTAGAAGGAAGATGGAATCTTAAAATATATTTATTTCAGAAGCTCACTGTTAATAAAATGACTTCTGATCTGACAGGAAATACAATATATCAAACGTTTTGTAATAAAGAGTGAATTCCTTTTTTCTTTTTTTTAAGTCAGGTGATGCTGTTCGTCAGTTGCTTGCAGAATTCTCAGAAAATAAGGTGGAAATTCCACAGGTAAAATTTAATTCATAATTCAAGCAGTGAATCTGATGTTTTAAACTAATTTATCTTCACAAGATTATACATCTTCCCCTTTTAGTACAATTCAGCTATGAAAAATTTAGGTCATAACAATGGTGAAAGTACATGATAAATTGTAATCCGAATTTGTGGAAAACAAAGAACTGAAATATCTATTACCTAAAATTTATTATCACAATGGCCAGTGAGAATTTAAACATTCTAAAAAATTAAAATCCAGTTCTGATGAGGTGCAACTCTTGTAAAAGTAGGTTACTAAAGTCAAGATTATAATTTTGACAAATTACAAACTTTTTCTTCCAAAAATAAAGAATTATTTTGAAGTATTAGCAATTTGTAGCATAAGAGATCAAATGTTTTATTCACCAAAACTAATTTAACATATTTTTATCACTCAATTACCAACAACTTATCCAGTAATAAAGCTACAAAAAATTGATAATTATGTGTAAAAATGACTCTTATTACCTGAGAGGCAAATATGAGAATATCAGATTGAAAGATCTTGTTGGCAAACTCTTACCTATCAACATTTAAGGTGGTAGGCAGTTCAACCAACACCACCTAGACAATCTAGGTGGTGTTGGTTCAACCCTGCCCACCTGCATAACCAAAAGCCAAGGAAAATGCATACAGTCAGGGCTTGCAAGAAAATAGACTACATTAGAAAAGCCAATGAGTCACTCAATTAACAACCTTTTTTTCAGTCTTAAGGCTTCAGTATAAGAGACAAGTAGATTTTTGCTAGAGAAGACAGTGTTGCTGTAATAAATTGAGACACACACCTAGGAACTAATTTAGTGATAAAGGCCAAAAGTTTCATTTGTGATTTTTTATCAAAAAAAATTTACAAAATAACATATTTTGAACAAAAAATATTCAGATTACTAAATCTGGTATAACAATATGATGTTAAGAACTTAATTAGAATTTAAAAATTAATTTTTATTGTTATTGTTGTCAAACTTATTGTAATGCTTCAAAAACATTTAAATTTAAAAAAAAATTCACTGTCTCTGCAAAATACATATTTTGAACTGAACATTAAATAAATATTCTTGAATACATTGATATTAATTACAAAACCAAATCTTTAAAGAATACACAAACAATAAAATATACATGAAAATTTAATTAAAAAAATATTACAGGTAACAAATGCACATAAATAATGCAAATGCATATAAATAATAATAATAATAATAATAATAATAATAATAATCATCTTGAAATCAAAAGTGAACATTTATAATATTAATATGATTATTTTGATAATGATACATATTTTATGTTTTGTAAAATGCCGGATCAAAGATATGAGCCTCCTTAAGAAATAGGAAAAACGTTTTGTCATCTGTTATATAACTTTTTATATTATTGAATAAATACATTTTTTTAAAAGTTCTTTATAAATGGATTATGGTCAGTAATTAATTACTTTTACATATGCATTTTATTAGGATTTAAAAACTGAAAAAAAATACATAAAGAAATAAACTCAACTATTCAGAGTTAAAACAAGTTAGTACATGTAATTTTGTTATAACCCCCTTTTCAAAAATTTCAAATAGGAAAGAAAATGTAAAGGAATTGAAACAAGCGTGCTAGTTTTTGACAAAATTTACCTCCTTTTTAACACATTTTAGGGTCTTTTGTATTTGAAAGAAAATTAACTGCATTTGCAATATTATAGAAGAATATAATATTCTGATGTAGATAAACTTGAAAAGAATATGTAATTAATTTTGTTAAGTCTTAGTAGACAAAACATGCAAATAACTTGTTTTTAAGTAAAAGGTTCAAATATCAAGAGAATCTACAGAACATTATTTAATGCACTGTTAACTTAATAATTTTGTAATATCCAAAAGATTAAACCTTTTCAACCATATTAATGAGAAATAGATTGGTTAAAATTCAAATTGTGCAAATAAGTTTGGATCCTGGTTTCATTAATTTGAGTAAATGTGTTAAATGTGGAACCTGAATTTGAATTTAGTAAAAATATCTAAAATATGCCATATAATATACACAAATAAATTTGAAATCGTGCACAAAATAGTTTGAAACCTACATGGCAACAAATATATTTTACTAGGAAGCAATGCAAAACACTTAACAATTTTGTTTGCATAGGTACTGTATCTTTATCAGTTAAAAACTGACACTCCCAAAAACAAAATGTTGATAGAAAAACCTACATTTTGAAAACAGTTTTATTTTTATGCACAAAACACAAACTTTAAATCAATTTATGTACTGATTGCCAACTATAAAGTACCTTGATATGTGCTAATTACAGCCAGGCTCACAGATTAATTTTATTAATTACACGTTAATGTTGCCATAATAATTTATGAAGAGAAATGTTGGAGACAATTAAAACAAAAAAATTATTGAAATAAAAATCTGTTGATGAAGAGCAAGAAGGCAGCAGGAACTTTTTGATTGAATGCCTGATTATTATTGGGTATCTTTAATCATTGATAAAGCTGATAATAAAATATTATTGAAGTTCAAACATCAACTTGTTAAATTGTGCTGGAAAATTTTGAATTTTCTTTCAGACTAAAGAAGTTTCCAACAAGCAACACAAATCACATTTCCAGCAACTGAACAGGAAATATTTGTTTTCGCTGTAGAGTACAATCCATTAGTATAATTAGTATCTACATTACTACTTTCCCATGTATCTAGGAACTGAAAAGAAACGATGTGAAAGGTGTAGGTGGTTTCATTAACATCCAACAACTCTTGGAAAAATCCAAAAACATAATTTCTGTTAAAATATTTAATTTACTGCAGTTTTAAAAGAGAATATTTTATTTGTTGTTCTTGAAAAGTGTGCATGTTACTTTTGGAAAATTGTTTTGTTTGATTTTGTTCAGCTGCATTTTTGCTACTGCAGGTCACTAGTTTTATTTCAGCTCCTGTACATCTTGTTTAGGACATCAAAAGTAAACTGTTTTCAAACTGAACGAAATTATCCTCTTTGCAACCATGGTTGTGTGTTTCTTGAATTGTGGAGACTATGAAATATAATGTTCCCTAATTCCAAAGAGCACTTCTATTTTTACTTGAAGATGAATTCTGTTACTTTTACTTTCTGTTTCTCTTATATATTATTCCCTATTATTTGAACTTACCTTCCCATGTCAAATACATTAATTATAATAAAAAGTAAATCAACATTTAAAAAAAATTAATCTAATATGCAAGAATTTGCACAAAGCTTCAAATATATGCAAAATAAAATTTGGCAGGAGAACTACATATGGGCTTAATTTGGGAGTAGAGGGTAGAATTCAAGTGAAAAATAATTTCTTTTCAAATTTCATTGCCTTTTGGTCTGTCCCATTTGTTTTGCAATCATCTCTTCCTAAAGAGCTGTGGATGTATAGGTGGTATCTTTGCTTAGTATGATTATTCTTGATGTAGCTTAAGAGTCTCCAATGTAATAAATTTAAAACAGGATGGCCGCTCATTTCTCTCAACAAATTTCCCTGGCATTTCACAGTTTTTCAGTGCACTTTTTCCAAATAAGATTTGCAATTTCACATTACTTTAAGAAAATATTAAAGCTTCTCTGATTCTAATCGGTCAGCTCCCTAACTTTCTCACAGCAAGTACAAATTAACAATATTTTTTCCCAAATAAAAATTGAGCACAAATAATGCTTTGCTAATATTTTTAAGAATTAATATCTAGTTTCATAACCTCAAAATCTTCCCTGACAACTGATGATTCTTCAACAAATTGATTTTTCTCCATCTTTTCCAGAGCAATGACATTTACTGATTTTTCGTGGTTTCCCAATGTTTTCAAGAAAGTGGCCATCCTGTAAAATGTTCCCACTAGTAAATGTATTTTAACAAATAAAAACACTACTGACTTAAAACAACTAGTACCATAACACACACAAACCACACATCATTCAGAACGTGCTTCAGTAATGACTCTCTTCACAAAACAACCAAACCAATATACTAAAAGAACAAGCACAAACACAACCACATGCACACACATGGAGGCATTAAACATTCTGGATTGGATATAACAATAATTCAGAACCAATCAACCACACGATAATTTTTGTTTTTTATTTCCTGTAGCTGGTGGAATGGTCCAGGGAATACTGCTAGCCCCATGCATCATCCAAAAAACAAACAAATAAACAATATCACACACACTCAAGGAACTATAACATTTTCAGACATCAAATCAGGAATAACATTCCTAATCCTCTAACACGGTTAAGTAGATTTGTGCCAGTGATGTTACTGCCTAATCATGGCAGATATCTGCCTTGTTTCTCTCACTCAACCTCTCTGTCTGTCGCTCACAAGCAAATGTGTCGCTTTGGATCAATTCCCATTTTATTTATTAATGGCACTTTGATAATAAAATATGCAAACTAGTTAATGAATACTGAATTTATGAAGTACAAGTATTTTTTAAAAACTGGGGTGACCATTAATTCACTAAACATAACTTTGCAAGAACAGCATGTACCTTCCAAATTAAATATACATTTGGCTTTCAACATAACCTTAACAAATAACATAAGCACCTTGTAAGTATGCATTTTTTTGGATTCTTTAACTCGTTTTGCCTCTCATGTAATATCTTTTAAGAAGAAAAAGCAACAAATAATCAGTGTCATTACACATCCTGAAACTTTAAAACCAATTATAATATAAGCACTAAATAATTACCCTGCAATCTCAACTAATAATGTAAAATAGTTATTCAGCCCTATCTGCTAACAGAACTGTCAATGTTCTTTGTGTGTGGTCGTTTGTAACTACACATCACTGAATACATATCTCCACCAAGACGAGCTGCAAGCCACCGATTTTTTATTACTGCCAATTTAAGACATTCACATGTAAATTTTGCCTCTAAATTGGTATGTAATGCTCTTCCCATTCCTTCAATCACCAACAGATCCACTTTTCGTTGCGACATAGTATCTGCCAAGCACTGGTTCAGACGACTGCAACAGAATTTAATTTTTAATTTATTATGTTTATAATAATAATAATTATATTTATTACTGAAGTAAAACCATGTATGTAAGTGATTGTATTTACCTAAATGTCAACATTAACCGTAATTCAATTCATTTTCAATCACTCAATACTCAATAACAATTTTCATTTAGAGAAGATCAATAGATAAATAAACTCCTGGAAGACAAAAATCCAATTGCAGGGCTGTTATAGTAAATAGAGTACAGAGTACATACTCTGTTTTGTATTTTATTTAATATTAACTTTCATCGGAAAAGTTATTTATTTAATTAATTAATTAATTTATTTATTTAACATATCTTTAAGTCATTAGAATGGCTTGATAGATCTCGAACTCAAGTGTTTTATTGAATAATAGGCATTTTATTGGCTGACGATTTATCCCATCATTCTGGATCTTTTCAGAGTTTAATTTTCAAGCAGAGAATTCTAAAAATGTAATACTAGAATAAATAAAAACACCACATGATATATCTTAGAGCTATTACAAGAGCATAAAGAAAATTTCATACATTACTAAAGGGGTGCACATTGGTCTCCTGAATTCCTTTTCTCACTGTAATTAAGTGAATTAAATTTGACCTGTCATGGTACCAAAGTCCCTTAGTACAAAAAAGCTTTTTCTTTTACCCTAATGGTGCAACCGTGAGATGAAATCTGTAATCATTATCTAATGGCAAACAATAAGTGGCTTGCTATATTGCAACCTCTGTACGTAAAAGAACCTGTGGCAGGAGTGACCTGTCTCGTTAAGCACGAAGGACAACAAGGCACCCTGCGGCCTTGGCATTCTTCCACCCTCGTGAGTTTCCAATCAGCTGTTCACAACTCCTTCAAACTCACAAGCAAATACAAGCCTGCTGTTGTTGAGTAGTCAGTATGACCCCAGTAGATCTGGATGTTAACAATGCTACATCACTAATAATAATTATTTCCAGAGGAGAAGAGTACCTGAGGTCCAGGCATGGACTGGCCTGCGCTGACTCCATGGCCACTAGGCGGCCTTCCGCCAGCGCAGAGTGAAACACCCCGCAGATCCCAGCCACTTGCTTCAACAACACTTGCAGTTCAGAATAGGTCACATCATTGAGGGCTGGTGCAGAGTTGGCACACAAGATCACCTATTGAAACACCACCAACACAAATGTCAACAAGCTGTTCAACTGTCAGTCACAAAGAAACAATATTTACCACTTCATGATGGCATATTTAACTTCTCACTAGCTGTTTTCTGCACCTTTAAACAAACTCCTCAATGTCAACTCCTTGTAGCCTAATTTTAATTTTGAATGCATTTCTGGAATAATGCAAATTTGACAACTGAAAAATATTCTTATTAGTGCACCCATTCAATGAACCTACTCGTCCTTTTCAATACTAAGAGGGTAAGTTGTGAAGGAAAAGCATTTATTCATTTAAAAAAGGAAAAGTGGTAACTTCGAAAGCACAAAACAGAATTTAAAATAAAAATAAAAATAAAAAACGCAATTGATAATTGAAACAAATTTTCAATAAAGGTTTATTCAGTATTATGGACAGATGTTCTTCAACAGTTCACATTTCCTTGTACACAGCATTTGGAGAAATGCGGTGGAGAGAAATTATGTCAAATATTATACACTTATTAATGGCAAATTTCTTATACAAATTCATCTGTATTCTATTTAATAACTGTTGTGGTGACTGGGCATAAGTTAGTAAGTACAAAGCCTAAGTATAGCGACTTACCAATTTAAGCCAAGAGGTCACATGGTTTCATATATTCGCTAAGGGTAAGATTAGGTAAGGGCAGCATGTACCTACCCAAGCGGGTAGGTAAATAATTTGGTAAGATCTGGATTCCATTTGCAGCATGGCAGACCACTGTCATCGTTTGTTAAATTAATAAATATGAAAATAGAAGATTGTTTATTTTTATTTTTTTACCCCTCAAGGGGTAAGGGACTAGGTGGCGGCTCGTGAATAAATGTTTATATTTAAGTAAGCGCTAATGACTTAGTAAGAACATTTGTTTGCTATTAAAATAATTTTATTTATTTATTTGTTTATGGGATATTCCCTTTTAATACCTGTAATAATAATAACAATATGGGATTTCAAGATACGCATTTGTTAATGAAGTCACAAAGAGTAAATTTAGAAACAATATCTAATTAATTATAAATCAGGTGGTTTCATAGAGCAATTCTCAAATAGTATGTTCATTACTTGTTAGCAGTGGAGACAGTACGGTAAAATATATTTGATAGTTTTCACAGGTTTGACAAAATAATAAGGGATTACGTGCCGACATGCAAGGGACCTGAAATCTGATATTAGGGAGAAAATTGTTACAATAAGGTCACAGATTGTTCTTCTGTTCTGAAGATGAGGAATGTTGTACAATGAGTAGTAGTCAGTGTAGTCATGGCAAAACCGTGGGAGGGGCATTCATCCATAATGTATTCGCATGAAGCTGGAGCGCACATCATTTCAAGTAGAAGTACATTGAGATAAACCATATCAATCTCCTTCTAAACATGATAAAAAATAAATAAATAAATAAATAAATAAAAAAAAACCCTCAAATGACTTACAAGATAATCGTGGTGTGAGACAATTAAATTAGACCTAATATGAGAAAAATATAAAATCGGATTAAGGACGATGTAGAAAGTAATAAAGAAGGAAAGAACTCTAGTATATTTTGAGAAACATGTGGTCTTAATTAAGATAAGAAACATTAATTAAACATTTTTAAAGTGAACAATAGAAGAAAAGAATAGCGAAAGGCATTACTGAATCGCAGTGCATGGAGTATGTGATAAATGAAACAGTTGTGTAAAGGGGAAACGAAACTTGAGTTGGGTCTGTGCCACGTCAAAGGAACAGTGGACACTCAAGTGAAAGTATTGTTATGGTTACACAAGGGGGAGAATTAATGTAGTAATAGGGTTGCATGGGCGTATTATAAAGAGCTCCTGGTTATGTTGATAATTTTGGATTGTAGTACTTTCAATTTAATGCAATATGAGAAGTCACTGGAAGAATAGTAACATTTCTGGATGGTGGAGTAATATTTTGGAACCATTAAATTAGAAATTCGATATTTTCGAGTGTGGAGGACAAAAGGGAGCTGGACCATGATGCAGCTGGCTGAAAATGGTTTTTGGTGGACCCAGGATATTCGTGGATTAAGAGGGCAGTCAATAACCAGGAAAAGGAAATGTTCAAGAGAGACTGAATATTAATGTACAAGAACCAAGAGCTGCATTCTAAATACGAAAAGAATATCTAACAAAGGCCATTAACTTCCAATGCACATATCTGTGTGTGTGATGAATGGATGCAATTGTATTTTAATTTGGTGTGAATGTGATTTTACTCTATAATTAGAATAGTTATTAGCTTTATTTCATTTTTGTAGTTTTTATTTATCTGATTGCTTCCAAAGCATTTGAATAAGAATAAAGAGCGCAGTCAGGCATTGTTATACATAAAAAATCTTTATCAAAAACTTTTTATTTGCATAACCTGTTGCACAACATCTTTATAGCACGTGATGACCAGCATGCCCCTAAAGTTACGAGAATAATTATATGGCAGTTTCCATGCCATATCAGAACTTTCTATTAAACTTGATACCAATTACATTTGATGACTTTAGAATGCTTGAACAGGTTTGATCAAATAACAAGTTAAAACTGTGACCAAGAACATAAAATTGAACCAGAATAAGGAAGATGGGGAGAATTCTAATGTTTTTCAGAATATAGAAGGAAGAAGAAACAATATGGGGGGAAGAAATGGAGATGTCTATTAATTTTCAGTCCGTTGGTAAATGCACAGATCTGTACGTATGACAGATGAATGGCTGTAATTGTATTTTAATTTTTGTTTACTTTTTGTACACGAGTATCAGTCCTTATTACTTATTAATCAACAGATGTCCAGTACCTTTGACTCTGCCAAAATGTAGTTTTTATTGTAAGTACAAAATATGAAATACTACAAACTCGGCAAGGTTCTACACTTCTCCAAGGAGCTGCAATTGGCAATAATTAAATTATGAAGAACATATTTTAATATCATATTATTTTAACTGACAAATTCATTTTTGCATATTTTAAAAATTTGAAAAATGGAAGAATTCTACAGCTTTTTTGGAATGCTAAGATCAAATTTCATAAATATCTTGTATCTGATCTGACCTCACAGTTCTTACCTATCTGTAGCTACTTGGACCTTCCCAATAGGCACTAGGGTGTGGAATGAATTATGTTATACGGTCATTTCACATTATTTCAAAGATTTGTTACAAATATTTCACATTCCCAATGACAGAAGAATTTACAGCTAGTGTTATTCATAAGGTTGTGAATCAATGAAGTCGTGATCCCCATTACCTAGTTAACAATAACTGTTATTCTGAAGTTTTATTGTCGGTTAAATTTCTTTCAAATGTTGAACAAACTTCCATAGAATCTTACAGTATTTTTTTATTTTATTTTTCAAGGTATTTACATAATTCTTTAAATTGATGTAGTTCGTTAAAAAGTAGTTTACCAATAGAACATTTGTTAGGATCAATATTTAATAGTCGTCATTATATCATTTTAATTGTAATGGGACGGTCGCACGCGTCAGGTTGCAAAATTTTATTCTATATAACGTTGCTGAAAAGAGGCCAGTTTGTAATGAAGTAAGTTTTTCGCTACCTGCAAGCAAGGACGCGGATGCATGCAGCTCTATTGCCTCGACAGGGGCGCGCCGCGAACCGCATCCGGTGACTCACCGGGAAATACGGACGCCGCTGTCTCCCAAGCCGGCGTTTCAGACGCACCTGTTCTTGAAACTAGAGTGAGGTTTGAGTTCCAACGGAATTTGGCGGGACTCGAACAGTCAACAACGACGTCGCGATTGGGCGGAAGAAACTGCGTGACGCGCGTCCGCCAATCGCGGGAAAACGAAGCGGGGGAGGGCCACGTGACCCGCGAAGTTGAAGTAGCAGCTACACACAAGCTCGGTCAATCCGATAGAGGAGAGCAAAGAGAAGCAGCAAAGAGAAGTGCATCTCCGAGGCGGGGACGAGGGCGAGTTTCTTTGGCTTACAGGGAGAGCGGGGGGGGGGCAGTGCATGCATTACCGCATCGCACGCCGCCTCTAGAGTCGCTAACTCGCCACGGGCCATGACCTTGAGTGCCCGACCGAGAGCCCAGGACTGACGACGGGCGAAGGCGCGACACCGCAGCCGCGAACCGTGCTGCCAATGCCCGGACCATCGTTGCAGGCGCCCGTGGACGCCACCACGCCGCCTGCCGCATCGTGTCAAGCACGAGGGCGAAGGGCCGCCGTTCCCGTAATCGGGGTCGTGACCGCCGGGAAGGACGCTGCCCTGCCTCCACCGATGAATTCTAGCCCGTACGGCCGAATTTAAGATAAGTTAGGTATAAGATAGTTTTAAGGTAATAATTATAACGAGACGCTTCATCACATGCAAAGGGAACATTAAATCCACCTTTGAAAATACCATGTGTTTCAATTCAGTATTACAACGAGAGTAAGCCCTAACACACATGCCTCCCTTTAAAGTCTACGGACTGAGCAGCCGGGGCAACGCTGGATCGCTGTAACCAGGTAATCAGGTGAGGCGGGGCAGCCACATGGCCGATGTGATTACATTACGTGCAACTCCTGTTTATATACGACATGTTTAAATCTGTAGACTCCTGAAGACTACCCTAATTGCAATGCAGTGAAAAATAAAATTCCTATTTCTATGGTCGTTCGTTCAATATAAAAAAGTGTCTATCTTATACAAGTTTTTTGAAGAGGAAATACACATTCATTACAATTACGAGATTGCACTAATGGTGATTATTACGGGTGAGCTACCCTTGTACCCAAATTCTGTCACTTTAAATCTTATTATTAAACCCCACACATTCCGTCTCCCCTCCTATCTTCATCCCTTCCCTTAGAGGAAAGAAAGAAAGGGAATGGGAGGTGATACGAAGGCATTTCGTTGGTGGTACCTGAGTGCCTCGCTGCAACAGGTCTCTCGCAAAGGGCAGAACTCCAAGGATGATGTCGACTCCGCTGTTGTCAACGAATATGGCTGCGCAGCGGTGGGGAGGGCCCTTCAAGCGGTCGATCCACTCATCCAGGCAATCGATCAGCCAAGGGCGGCCTGTCAAAAAACAAATATACTATTCTGATAATGGAATAAAACATACTTCAAAATACAAAAAAAAATGTGGCAGGCATTCAAACGCATGGAAAAGAATCGTAAATCTAAAAGACGTTTCATTTGCAAGACTTGAAGTATCTGTGACTACAAAATAAGCGAGGCAAAATGAACCCTGGCTGAGAACGAACAGTAACATCTCCTGGGAACAAGTTTATTGCCTAATTCATAATGAAGACGATCATCAGAGATGAAAATTTTCTGCTTCCATCATATTCTTTATCTTCTTCTACAGCTGCTGTTTTAATGAAGACCTTCCCAGCGTGATTGACCTCAGGCGGTTTCCTGTTTTGCACACCACATAATATCACAATCTGGTTGGTAACTCTTATCCATTGTCAATATATAAGATGTCCCACTAACTGTGGGCCACCCCCATAATTTCTAAAGTGTTCACGATGTCGAAATGCAGTTTTTCCAACACAGAAATGGGGCAAATAATATTCCATAGAGATATTGTTTACAATAGTTTTGGTTTTAGAATCACCTTTGATTTTTTAAATGCAATTATAATTTTCTCCGCAGCAATAGATAGAACATAAAAAGAGGAATACAATTATGTATCATATGTTAGTATTTTGACAATAATTTGAGTATAAAATTATACTTTCTAGCATATGATTTTAAATTAAGCGGGCAATATTCCCTGTAAGCATCCCTTGACTGTTGCTTTTGGTGAAGATGACTTTCGCAGGGCTGATACTGTTTAAAGGGCGCGGTGTGATAGTGGGACATAGAGGTGGCTACAGCAATCCATGGTTGTCACGAGGATACAAAAACAAACAATTTTTACTATCAGAATTGACGATATTCTTTCCATTGATTCTTCAGGATTAAATCAATGCTTTGGAATTTTAATCAGTGAAAGAAATGTTCAATTATAATGAATCAATGGAAAAATCTTTCATTCCGACCGAACACGGCCCCGAGGACATTAATACACGCCGCAAGTTTTCTTGGTACACGAGCACCCTATTCCTCACCCAGCGCTGAATAGCACGGCACGTTGAGATACTTAGGTTCGACTCGGAACGGCACGTACCAATTTACAATGCTTGGCAACAACCACCTCGTACGTTCAAATCAATGTGCACGCTTTGACAATTTAAGTTCATGTCCACAGTTGGTACGGCCTTTTAGCCCGTTACGAAGCTAGAGCCCTCCTCTCCCCGCATTCCCAGCTGTGGCATATCAAGAAAACGTAAGTGTATAGTACATGAGATGTGAAGGTGGCAGAGGAAACCGTTGTTCTGTGAAAATGTAGAAATAATCGCTCTCTCACTAGTCTATACTTAGTATAGACATTTATACTATAGATTCCTATTAATCACATCTAGCGTTGTTTGGATACCCTTTCCCCAAAGATTGACATTCATGGAACTTTTAACATTGGCTTGGCCCATACATCGCCGACTAAAAACACATAAATCTGGATTTTCACCTTTTAAGAAATTCCGTATCGAAATAGTTATTAAGTAACTACTTTAGAAAGTGACAAGTCTTTGACGTACGACTGAAATGTTGAAATTCTAAAATGAGTACGCCAAAGACACTATCTTATGAATTGCGTACGTTATTTCTTTAGAACCATAGTGCGTTATAGAGCCTCAAGGCCATACTTTGCGGTGGCATTATGTCACTGTATTTCGCTTCTTTCTCGATCGTGCCGCTAGATATCGCATGATCGTATAGCAGTGTTGGATACGGTCGCGATCATGCGACATCTAGCGGCACGACCGAGAAAGAAGCGGAATACAGTGACATTATGCAACCATGAAGTAGGGCCTTGAGGGGCAGAGTTATACAAGCCGCTCTGCAATACACGGTTACTTTTAAGTATATACTATTGGCATTTTTCTCAAATTCGAAGCGACAGCCATGCTGAATCACGACGCCCGCTGTTTCGCTTTCTTTGCCATTCCCAGACACTTTTTTCAGCAATAACTTCTCTGTCATTCGCGAGCCGCAAAGGAACACTTTCCTACCAATAAACAGTGAAGTTGAGTACTAATTATTAACGCTCATAGCTCTTAGAAATAAATTCATTCCGTACTTTGAATCTTGGCTTGCGCTTCTTGGAAGCCAAAATCAGAGGTCTCCATGAGGTCGGCGACTTCTCGAGCTCCCCAGTCGAACATGTTGCCGGCCAGCACCGATGTGACCAAGGCTTCTTGCCGGGGTATCCACTCCATCGCATCCAACTGCTGCAAGCGCTTCTCGAGCAGAGAGAGGGCTCGCTCGTTCTCCACCTGTTTTTGCTGCAAGAGAGATTGTGTTAGTAGACACAACCTTATTAAATCAACAGACCCCACTGTCCATCTGAATCTCTTTCGCTGTATTTTTCCACAGCAATTTCCGTTTCCTGTATTACATTTGGCTGATGCCTCTCGAACGAGATCTACAAAATTTAGATTTAAAATTAAAAGAAAGCCACAAACTCAATTAGTTTCTCCTTCACAATTAATAGCTAACAGTGAGAAGAAGAACAATTATTTTATATCTATAATCCGGATCATTTAAATTACACAAATAATATACAAGAGAAAAACAGATGTAATAATGCGGCGACACAGTGCGATTTATCGGCAGAAAAAATGTATTGTAGGATGATACCGAAAAAGTGGATAATTTCCGTTCCAAAATGTAACAATTTACTTCCGCCAACACATTCTGTACTCAGAATCTACGCTTGTGAGTCCTTGATACCAAAAAATTGGCGTCGGCAAAACGTCCATCTAAACAACGCTAGCGGCAAAACCCTCAGCAGGATTTTCCCCGATCGATCTGGTCTATATCGCGGCCTCTGAATTTCGAAAGGGATGTTTTAATTTTTGTGACAACTTCAAACGAAGCCTCAAGGATATTTTCATTTTTTCTAAAAATAGCTCTCCACATTTTTTGATTAAACACCCTCGGATAGCACGAATAACGCTAAAAAATGTCGCAGGTCTCAGTTTTGTTAAAATATCATAATTTTTCAATTAGCAAAAGTTAATAAATTTTCAAGCTCAAGCTACAACTTCAGAATTGACAATAGAGATTTCTTCTCTAAATAAAATCTGTTCTTCAAAATGAGTTCTTTAAATAAGACACATACAGTTTTTGTTTTGAAAATATGAATAGTTTTGGAGTAACGTTGCGAGAACTAGTGGCAATTTTAAAACCAAGATTATCTCAAAAACTGTACCAGCTGGGAAGACTGGCTAGAGCCGGAACGATAGTCTACATTTAAAACACTAGAATATAACAAATGCGAAAAAGTCTGTCATTTTGTTTCACCCCTTAAGTAAATTATATTTTTGAAGTCGTAGGCTTCCGCGACCAGAGTCATGTGCATAATCTTGGCTGTCCGGGTGACGCCGCGTCGAAGGCTGTGTTGTCGACGTTTCGACCATCTTATCGTGGGCAGACCAACCCTGAGGAAGACCACGACAAGATGCTCAAAACGTCGGCAACACAGCCTTCGACGCGGCGTCACCCGGACAGACAAGATCATGCAAATTGTATTCTTGTTGAAGGAATTAGCAGAGTTGGCAGTCTCACATGAGGCATTGTGTGTATACATGGGGGGAGGGGGGTCACCTCGAAAGAGTCCGTGTGAAACGTGGAAACGGTCGGTATGAAGAATTAAAATTACTTCCTTACCAGTGGTGTGACGTTCGGGCCCCCAAGGCTCGCAATACAGAGGGCCCAAGTAAAAGAGGTCCTATTTTTAGGATAAAAGTTTTACGATTGTAAGAATTGCAAACATATGGTTTTGCGATTGCAAATGTAATAAATCATAGACTGATGAATATAAATTTATTAAAGGATACATTTATTATTTAAGGTCCTAAAACTACTTGTGTTTGCAATGCCCTTCTACAAAGGGGGTCCGGATAAAATTTTTGCGGGCGGGATAAGGAATTTCGTTACGCTACTGTTCCTTACGCTCTGCGGCGCGGGATAAGGAACATCAAGAATTAGCAGAATCTTTAATACCCTTATTTAAATGTGGTATTGTGTCCCTGTCGTGCGCTGAATGTGGAGCGAACAACGTACAGACCACTGAGTCATTCATGATGGAACCGTCAGTGAAAAGCATGCCTGCACAGCATTTTGCAGTTTGAGCCGCGCGCGAGCAACTTGAGTGCAAACCCGGGCCGCGGGGACGGGTGCGGATAAGATTCATTCTAGGAGTGGGAACTGACAATCAGAATGTGCAATTCGAACCATAGCGCGTAAATTGTAAGAGCAATTGCGAGAATGAACTATTACATACAGTTCGTTTCATTACCTTTTATTTGGAAATGTTTGTTGTCCATGTATGACCATGTGAACCTATAACGAATTATACATATTTGATTGGAATACTAGTATTACAATTGCTCTTAAAGCGGATAATGTAATTTGCTTTGAGCTCTACGATGTAATCGCAAATTTAGAGTGCTGCTAAATACAAAATTGTAATATTGAATCTTTTTTATTTGATTACAGTCATAAATTATTTTTTCATTACCTGTGTTTAATTGATTATTACGGTTCTATCAAAGTTAAAAATCTTATTCTTAGAAAATCATGATTACTTTCTCCTCTAATTTTCTACGAACACTATACATTCATGTAGTCGTAAAAAAGATTAAGCCCATTTGCGTTGTATTTAACAAGACTCACAACAATGTCATGATTACAAGTAAAATATCGTAACAGAAGTTTGCTCGTTTATCTTATTCAGCTTCACAAATGGTCACAAATATGTGCTGCCAAACATTACCCTTGTTGGAATTGCCTATATTTCATTTCTATATCAATCTCGATGTGAGAGACTGCTCTCAAATTCCTCCGTTTTGCTATTATTTGCAGATTATGACGTGCTTGGTGATAAATCAATTCTTATATTGTAAATTTTTGTTGGTTAACACTGCATAATAAATTTTTAAAAGCGATCACTTCTTTAAAATAGTTCGAGTTACAATGGGCATAAATATAGAATAAAAAATGCCGATACACAGAAGTGCACCCAAGAACATAACCAGAAAAATAATGGCCCTTGTAGCTAGAAATACGGTAGATTACCCATTTAAATAAGTGAGCAAATCATTTCATAGCATGGATCATTGCATTAGGCGCCCAGGAATTCAATCTACGTGTAGCATCCTCCTCACTCCCGCTTCTCCCCTCCCACAAAGCTGTCTTCACCCCACCACTTGCACTTTGGTAGCTCTCGCGGGCAGACGGCTGGCTCGTAAGTGCAGAATGCCCGCGTGAGCAGGTGTTGTGCAGGCCTGGTGTAAAGGAATGCAGGCTGGCAGACTGGGACCACCACGGTACTGTCGAACACGTACGCGGCCATCGCTGTAGCACATATAGAAACGGGACTCGCCCGAAAACCCTACATTCTGCAACTCAACACCCTGGTAAACACGTTCACGTGCCAACTGCTGTCTGAGGCGTTGGTGGTTTCTGCTTAACGGAATCCGACGCAGTGGTATGCGTGCCACCCGTCCAACCTTCAGCAGACGGTGTCGAACCGTCCACGCACACATGATCACACCCGGTGCAGTACTCCACAGTCGAGTAAACCCTGTGGACGACGCCGTTGACGGTTACGACCATGAAGAAAAGATGGCGGTCATCTCTCGATTTGGTCACATTGTGCGGTCGTGTACCCGCTCGTCGCTGAGTAAGATCCTCCCATATCCACTGGTTCCACACACGCATCACTGACGTAGCAGCGCGCTCAGTTCGAGCCACAATGTCACGATGCGGAACACTATTCTCCACATACACTGACATTTAAGCGATTCCGGCCATTCCTTCCGGGTTTTGCAATTTCCACACACAGCAGTTTATGTATTTCCGCATTGCTTTAAAGAAAATGCATCGATACAATGAGAATATAATATGTAAAAAATCAAACTAATATTGGGATTTTAATAGTCAATTAAAATAACATTAATTATTTTTCATTTCCTTTTGATCCATTCCTGTTCTCTGAGCATTTTTCTTATGGCCCACTGTTGGTGGGACATTTGAATACATTTAATTAATTTCAAGTAGAAATGACGCGAGAACTACAGTTTTTTCAACAAAAAAAATTGTACATGATCTTTGTTAATGAACTGGTTTTTAAGAATACATTTTAAGACTAAAATCACTATCTTCAAGTTTGTAATTTTTAAATGATACATTTTCAATTTTCGAAAATACTGAGTGCGCTGGATATAAGCAACTATCATTTTACCAACCTTTGAAACGTACGAGAAAAATTAAAGAAAAAGTGGTGCCGTTTTAGAGAAAAAAAATGTAAAAAAAATCAAGTCGCCTACATTTCACGAAAAATTACGCGAAAACTACTCAAAATTTCGAAAATGATTACATGACCTTATTTCATAACCTATTTTTAAAGAACAAATTTCATTAAGGAAAAAACTATCACCAATATATTGTAAGACGCCGAAACAACTAAACTTCAAAACTCTTAAAACTAACTACTAAACTTCTAAATGAAAAATCAAGGATTCTAATGAAAATGAGATCTGCACCTGCTCTAAAACGTCCTTCGCAGTATCTAACAACAAAATTCAATCAAAAAATGTGGCTCCTTTTTACGAAAACGATCCAGGGGGTTCATGTAAAGTACTCCCCGAAATTAAAATGTCGAATTCAAGGGGCTGCGACTTCAGCCAGATTGATTGGGGAACATGGATTTTGGAGAAAATCGGCTACACGGATTAGGAGCTAGCGTTGACCGCAGGTGGTCGGGCGGACGTTTAGGTGTCAAACGATTTTTCTGTTTCAAGCACCCACAAAACATGGATTCTGACACCACTAGCTGTTAAGGAAGTAATTTGCTATATATTTGAACAGCATTTATCCACATTTTAGTTGCCAGAGCAGGGCATGAAGAATTTTTGTGTCAAAAATTCGCCATTTTCAGGCACACGATTACAACAATTTCTCATCTTACCTGTACGTGAGGGCGAGAAAGTAAAAAGGCACCCTAATTCGTAGCACTCACCTGCAGGTAGGGGTCAGGGAAGTCGAACTCCTTCATGTAATGTTGTATTGTATCAAGAAGGCAGCGGACCGTCAGATTTCCATAGGCACTGCAATGAAGTTCCTTTCAATAAACATCACATTCAATCGAGATTCAAGTAATACACAGAAAGATTCATTCCGGGCGTGAACATTAAGCACAGTCTTGCCCATCAAAAATCAATACTAATTCCCTTTCCTTGTATTTCATGTTTCCGGGGATGTCAACTGCTATGGAGTCTTGGTGATTGATCCTGTTAGCTTAGTGAATGTTTTAAGGCGAAAGTGGTGTGTTTCAACCTCGCTGGATTGTTCTACGAGTCGCATTGCGGAGCTTTTCCCCTGAGTTATCTCCCCCTGCCGCAGTTGGGACACGCTCTAAGCTTCACACACGTATGTTTGTGTAGTGCTTTATAGAGTACTGAAAGAGGATGCGACACGGAAAAGGAAAGATGACCCGTGGCAGTTTTCTAGGAACTATTAAGGCATTCGCCTGATGTTGATCAAAAAACAGCAACGGAAAACTACTGATTAGAGCAGCCAGGCAATAGAATCCTCAAAATATATAAAATGCTTCCTAAAACGAAATACGTTACTTCTCGCCGAGTTCTCATCATAATCGCGTAGAAACATGTCATTTTTACTTTCTCGCACTTACTGACGTAAGAAGTATTGTAATCGTGCGGCGAAAAACGGTGCTACAAAAATTCCACTACCTACCAGCTCCATCTCAAATGCAACGGCTTCAAAGATGAATCAGTACTGATGAATGATCGAAAGACGCTGTAGATCGCAACGCAGACTATGTGAAGTTAATAACGAAATCATAGCAAACAATTAGCCTAATTGTTGAACATATACTCAAAAGAATGGATTTTGCAAGAATTATGTTTAGCTGTTAGTAACTTTCTTGTTCTTTGCGGAGAAAAAATTGCACAAAAACCAAGAATGATGCTTTCAGGGACCATCGAATTGTCGATGCTAAACCATTGATGAAAATACTATTGATAGTCACTGAGAATTAAATCCTGATGGACCCCGCCTTTTAACTGGTGACTATAGCTTGGTGACCAGTTATAGCTTGTCACCAAGGCCCCGCGGAAGTATCTCGACAAAAGAAAGGCTATTAAAAACAGTGGGAGTCGGCCCCTGACACCCCAAGAATGTAAGGTGCGAAGATAGCCGTACCTCAAGGTAGTGCCGTGTGCTTTATCTTTATCGAAAGAAATTGTTACCAAGAGTTGACTTAGCACAAAAGAAGTGGAGACCTGTGAGGCAGGGGTGACGAGGTGGTGCATGGCTGACCTGTGCTTCCTGAAACAACACTGAATGGGTGTAATTGGATTTGTTCCAGGAGCCAGATCAGACGCGTGTTCGCCATTCGCCCTCAAAGCTTGCGAACACAGCTTGTGAGCGAGATTGGGCGATACGTTGAGGGATTGGTTCTGCCTTTCCTTCTTGGGGAATTGGAATGACAATGGCTTTGCGCCATATCCTAAGAATAGTAAGCTCTATCCAAATCTGGTTGAAGATATGGAGGAGAAAAACGTGCCTTCAATCCGATAGACGTTTCAGCATTTCGTTATGTATGTGGTCTAGACCTTGAGCAGAATCTTTCGTACGGGCGAGGGCAGAGGAAAATTCATCCGTAGAGGAAGAAACGTTATAATCATTCTCCAACGACTCGAAAAATCCGTTCGGCAATTCTCCATTCTTCTCTTCGTTTTCAAAAGGCTAAGAGAATCGTGAGAGGTCAAATACCTCAATCACGTCTTCTGGAGACATGAGATTTCCATTTATCAGAAGGCGATAGGAAAGTCTTCCACCGCACCTTGCGACATACTACTTGGAGGGCTGGCTGGCAAGAAAGTGAAGAAATATACTCTCCAGGAAGCGGCCTTACTTTCTCGTATTACCAATCTATCTCTGGCCGAGTTCTTTTATAATCGATCAGATTTGCGATGTGAGAAATCTTCTGAGCCTCTCCAGTGCCCGATCACGCACCGCATGGCACAGGGAGGGGTCGTGGATGGCCCGCAAAGAAGGGCGCCAATGAAATGGGCAACCACGGCATCGTTGTCATTTGAAGAATTACCTAGTATTTCTAAAGTAGTAGTCAATATTCAATTTTCGTTGCACAACGTTGATTTAATATGGTAAATAAATTGGAGAATTTTATTCTAGTTTTGTTTGCTACTGTAGTGATGTGTAGTTTCCACGTTAATCTTTTATCAAATAGGATTCCAAGGTACTTTATTGGTGAGGTCTCCCACGATACATTTATTCCTAGCTCTGATGAATTTTCAGATCTACATAAGGTGAAAGTTTTTGACATACATTCATCAGGACTAATTTCTACTCTCCAATTTTCTGTCCCTCCTATATACATGATGATTATTGATATGAACCTTTGCTATTAGGATATCGGAATTAGTAGAAAATAAAGCGGCATCATCAGCGTATAATACAATGATGGGATCATCATTGTTAGAAATAATGTGGCCAGAAATATTGGAAAATTTTGGGGAGAGTACTGAGCCTTGCAGTACTCCTGCAGCAACTGGGTATGATTTTGAAGTTGTATTGTTGATTTAACAATAAATGTTCGTTGGATATGAAATATTTAACAATTTTTAGTAAATATTCCACAGTTCCCAGCCAGTCAATTATACATGCTTTGTAGACCCTATCATAAGCTTGGTTTGCTTACAAATACCGTGTTTCTTTGAAGGAGGGTGAAATCCTTGAGCGATTGCTTATGTAAATCGTAGAAGTTGATGCGTGGTAGTGATTCGGTTTGAAACCAAACTGAGCAGATGGTATGCCATTTGTTGAGTTCAGAAATTTATTGAGCCGATCAATATTAATTTTTCAAATATTTTTGATTCTGTTGGTAAGATACTAATTGTTCTATAGTTGTTAGTAAATGTAGATCATTGTTAGGTTTACAGAAGGTAATTATAATTACTTCTTTCCCTTCTATAAGGAAATAGTTAAGATGCAGTGAGGTATTACAAATCACCATTTATGCTGATAGTTTGTTTATTTAACATTTTAACACAGCATTGTTAATTCCATAACGAACTGGGGCCTTTTTAAGCTTAAGAAATTTGATTTTTGATGCTTCTGAAGGAGATATGAACTTGATTGGTTATGCGGCGGAAGGGATTTCAGTGTTCAAGTATTCTGCTATTTTAGTATTAAATGAATTGTTTATCACTGAGTGTGGTTTAAACATTTCTTCCAGGTGATCACCTAAAGTTTTGGGTCCAAGACTCCACCCAGGGTGATTGAGCTACTGAATAAGTTTATATCCATTTTTAAGATAATTCATATTATTGTACTTACAAAGGTTGATGCTTCAAATAATGAAGACGGGAGACATATTTCTCCCGGAATTTGTGAGCACGTTCCTTAGCAGAAGGACTGTCTGGTTGACTCTGTATGGCCCTCGCTACAAATTTGTCCACCGATTCTTCAAAGCATTGCAGCCAATATTCCCTGGAAAATAAAAAATCCCTATGTGAGCCATTCCATTGACAAACTTATGGTTAAGTTTACCTTCTTGTCATATTTTGTTTTCTGTGAAGTAAGCAAAAATATGAAACACGTTTTTCATTTTTTCAAAAATTTATTTTTAAAAACCAAAACAAGTGCCAGATTTGCAAAAAAGACTATAATTAAACATACGTCACAGGCTCAAAGGCCGCTTCGCGTCGACTACGTTTTTGACTGCACAGATTTCATAGCTGCAGTGATAACATTTTTCTGTTAAGGAGAGAAAGTAGGAGAAGGGGGAGGGGAATAAACTGTGTTGTCATCTAATTGGAATATTGTGAAATTTCTATAATTGAGCTGATAATTTTGGCAAAACCTTCTGCTTAAAATTTACAAGTACATTATCATAGATTTTCGTAAATATTGACATTTCCATCATGGTGTTCAGAGTTAAATTTAATACTTAACATTAACAGAATCTAATATTTAATATTTATAGACACAGGCGTGAATGGTATCTAGGTACCCTAATCTTTGTGACTACAATAAACCGAGATGTTCCATGTCATCCCGGACAGTACTTTAAAAACACGCCATCTTTCCAATCTGTAACAACATTGCCTCACCGTGCTACAAACATAATTGTAAGAGAGGAATCGAGTTTTCTTCAGCACGGAATACTTCCATTTGTATTTTTAATTGTTTTTAAGAATGGTGTAGAAATAGTTTCAATTTTTCAATAATCCGACTGCCCTCTGAATTTCTTAATGACGTAGCCGGGGCTTCTACACGAAATATTTCTTTTCAAGTGTCATTTTGATTTTCTGTAGTTTCTGCCGGAGATATTGTTTCTATTTCAGTTTGCTTTTCCTAATCCGCATTTCTGCGAGAGATTTCAAAATCAAGTTTAGTCTTACACGTCTATTATTTACTTGATGCTACCTGAAGTAGCAAAAGACAAACCATCTCCGTTGTAAAAATCCCCCTTCCCACGAAGTGAAGGATGAGGATTATTAAGTGTGCACTGCCTTCTGCCTTCGTGGGCTACTGGAAGGAACGCGGCGGCGGCGGCGGCGATGGTGTGACGGTTAGCGTACCGAACTGTTATACCCAAGCTCGCGGGTTCAAACCCGACCGAAGCCGTGGATTTTTAGGACGACAAAATCCTTCGTACGCCTTCCTTCGGAGGGGAAGTAAAACCGGCTGTCCCATGCTAATAGATTTACTTGCATGTAAAAGATCCTCAAGCCGAAATGACGCCTCTGAGCTAAATACAAATCGCCTGTTCCTGGCCCAAGAAATACCTTCTCTGCTAGTTGGTGAAAGGAGCGTAGCGACATTTGCGTGGTCAGACGGAAGAGCGGGCCTGATGGCCCCAGTCTCACCACGTAAAATAAGGCAAATTCAATTCAAAATTCAACACAGTATCACATGTATTACAAAGAAAGATTCGCAACTTTTTGATCCTAATTAATATTATTTTTAATAAATGTGTTACGTTTACATAGCCAACGCCAGGCTCGCCCACTACCGAACAAACACCACGCCAATAATTTTTTCTGAGGTCAACGAGCAATCCTCCCTGTTTAGAAGCTCTGGGGAGACGAACAGGGAGGCCCAGCGCGGAGGTACGTGGGCGATCCTTATGCCCCGGCTCGGCGGCGATGGCGTGGCGATAGCTATAGCTATGGATATGGCGGCGGAAGGAGCCGGCAAAGTCAGCGGGAGAGGGCAGTGACCGCTGGCACATTACCGAAGAACCGGCTCCATAACACGCTGGCTATTGACTTCCAACGCAATCACCCGCCACCAAGCAACGCTAGCCAAGGTGAAATGCGGAGAGGGCAGTCGCCTAAATGTCCACGCAGTACCACTCCGTGACATGACAATATTCGTGGTAATAAATTCTTGCACTTCGCGGATAAGGCAGAAGCCCCCCTCTCTCTCTCTTTCTTTCTCTCTCTCTCTCTTTTTCTCTTTCGCTCTTTTTCTCTCTCTCTCTCTCTCCCCCACCCCTCTCCCCCCTCGACCCAACCCAAGCATCGAATGGGGGAGGTTGCTGAGAGGGCGAACTGCGTTCCGACGGGATCAGGATAGCAGTCTGGCGGCGTACTTGTGCGTCGCCGGGGGATTAGGGTAACGAGCATAAAGCTTAGGGATCAACCCAGGGGACTTGGGCCCCCTGGCACAACAAGAATCTGTGTGGAGTAGTAGCCCACGTAGGTCATACATCACCCGTCAGGTTGCCTAGTTCTGTCGGTACTCACGTCAATAGCTTCAAGAAGAAGGCAGCGAGAAGTCGGGAAGCGGGGCCCCTGTTAGGACTTTGGTTTCGCCGTGGCAGTGGCCCGAAACTCTGGGCATAGAGGAGGGATTCGTTCCGGCTCATTATTTAGTCTCCGGCACCAGCCTTGATAGTTAGAGCTCTAAGCTGACAGGGTGGTCCGGCCCAGGCATCATATGGGCAAGTTGCCATGAGGGTAAACCGCGTTCTGGCGGGATCCAGATACCAGCCCAAGGGCGTCCTTGTACGCCTTCAGGTCCTGCAGATAGAGGCAACGCCCAGGGGGGCCCCCTCCCCGGGGTTGATTCCCCTTGGTAGAATACAAGGCTCGAATTTCTCGCTAAGTCTAACCAATCAGATCGCGCTTCTCGATAACAGGCACGACCAAACTACGTAGTGCTTAAGTTCTATTCCTAGAGTTCAGAGCGGACTGCTGAACTAGTCTTTATATTCCCCCTCAGTCATTTTCTAATTCTCTCCTTCACCCTGTCGTTCCAGATTCCAAAGGCTGCGTAATTGAAGAATGTAATAATTTTTGTACAATATATTTGTAAAGTTATTTTAATAATTTTAATTACTTTTAATTAATACTTAATGTTCATTTACTACAATAATGCTGGAAATTTATTTGAAATGGAGGTGTTGGCTGCAACACATCCAATTTAAGATCGTCGAGCATTCGCTTGTAAGCATACGGTCGAGGAGAAGTATTCGGGCAAGACTTGCCCATAGACAACGAAATTTGTTTGATTTCTATTGGAGCGAAAGAACCTGGGTCAGTTAGTTTTATAACCAATGTTCGACGCAGATCCCACGGAGTTTAGGAGAACCACCATAGCACTTAGTAATTCACCTCTATACACATCTCCAAACTACCTTCTAGCAATTAAAATGTCTTCTTTTAACATATTCTCAATATCATTCACTTAAAACAGAAAAAAACTACATTGATAATTTAACATAAATCTGTAACCTGATTGTAAAACTAATTTTAATAATTTTACAAACAAATAAATAAATAAACGGAGGCACCAGAGATAACTTAAAGTTTATTTTGCAGAACCTCATTATTCTATTGCTTCCTAAGTACCTGGCTTCTGCATCTTGCGTCAGATCCACTGTGTCTGGGATGTAGCTGGCAGGTTCATGCAGCAGAGGGCAGTACGTAAGAGCAGATTCCCATCGATCGATTTCTAGTTGATCGACTGGCACGCCCTGCGGCGACAGCACCTGCGAGGGCACGGGGCTGCGCAGCCCAGAACTGCCGGCGTAGTTCTCCAGCCAAGAGTACTTGTCTGCGTCTAAAACGAAACCAATTACTAGTAAGTAATATAAGAAGTTATACTGAAGAGAAAAAAAAACTACTTAATATCTCAGTTTTACAGTATATATGTTACGACTTAAGTACAAAATATAGCTAATTTTAGGGGTAGTCCGTTAAAACGGACATGAGCGATCAGACACTGGAGTGTGGATAGAGATTTATGAAATTGAATTATATACAATGAAATTTACAATCCATTTCATAGTTGTACTGTTGTTCCAAAACAATTAAGCCACCCGACTCAATATTTACTTTCTATGCAAGTTATTGCCAAGCACACCAATAAAAAAGATTTATTATACAGATATGTCAAGCCTCATGATCGACGTATTCTCTTGATCTGGGCAAGATAGGCTCTAAAAGTACTAATTAAAATAGATGTTCTAGAGTTTTGTTCACGATTACAAGACAAAATCTCTTCAGTTGCAATAATCAAAATGTGTATAAATGAATTTGTAACTGAATTTCGGCTAGTTTTGGTATCAGCAATTGGGGCTACCTAAATTAAGATGCTTGTATGAGTGTGAGCTGTCTTCTGTGATCGCAGGGAGCATTTTGGAATGGAAATGTGATTGGAAATTGTGTTGAACACGGTCAAGGATGTTTTATGAAAAAGTAGACGGCCAAAGCGGGAGCCACATCGCTCTCTCGGAAATGCGTGGCGAAGCGTTAACCGAGGTAAATAGTGAGGTTTTGTTACGCGTTATCGAGTGAACAGATGTATTCAAGCACAATGGAGTTCCAAACTCCACACCTTGTCTTACAGTACACTCAGACACCACTTCTCAACAGCAGATTAATCCCTATTTACCACATTTCTTGATATTCTCCGTAATCGTAACGTACTTCACTTCCCCTAGCTACATCGTGCCCGCTAATGCCGACATCACACGGTATAAATTCGAAGTATGGTCGAAGCAGTTCCAATTTCGGAATTAATCCACTTAGCCCACTCAAATTAGAACAATCGAGTGAAAAAATTGCCGTTTTGAAATTTTGCATGATTGATCGTTTGTACGCCATACTAAAAATCCTGAAATGTGAGGGTTAAGCGGGGGTGGGGGAGCCGTTTAAAGGTGTTTTACTGAAATTTCGTGGCGGGACAACTTCAAGATTTTATGTTATAAAATAATTAACACCGGCGTTGTCTTTAAAGGCCATAATCGCTTGAATTCGAACTGCAGTTTCGGTTGGCTGTCGCCACACAATGAAAATGCATGTCCGTGAAGGTCGATTTGCGACCGATGAAGCACGGGTGTAAGGGAGACATTTACACGAAAGGGATGATTGTGCATACAGTAGCAATAAAACAATTTGTTCGTGACACTTTTTCTTGCTGTCTGAGGGTTGTTGTACCTTGCGATAACAAAGCTTGTTTCAGTTCAATGCGGGCCAATAGACAAGTAAGTGGTATTCAGTGTGAAGCCAAATTTTTATTAGTGTAACATTTGGAATTTCGGAGCTTTATTGAAAATGCCGTGATCAGCAAAAAGATGGAATACTTTGAGGAGGTGCAACCCTTTTGAACTTCAAAACGTAAAAACATTTCGCTCTTCGGGGTTGGTGATTTAATTTGCGACAGCTGTCGTAAAATATCGAGTTTTACTGTAATCATTCTCGCTAAAAATGAAGGAACTGAGGAGACAAAATATACGACGAAAAATATTTCTATGAAAACAGCAAAATGCGAGATTAAAAAAAATAAAAAATTGTTGCGACTATATTGACGCAACGCGTCTCCTAACTCCGTAAGGAGCGTTGAGTGCTGTTATAGTTCAAATCAACTTTTAACTACTTTCATACACGTTTCAAAATTTCAACATTCGTATGATAAATCCAGATGCGAGGTACGGAATGTTTGCGTGGTCATCCCTATTTCCCCTGACCAGGATTATCTCTCTCAAGCGTCGGGGGGGGGGGGGAGTCGCAATATCGTACCTCGTAGGGTGTTCTGTTTTTTAAAATGCTCAAATCTACTCATTTTTCTGACTTGTTCTTTTCTTCTCTTTTTAATAAGCCTTCCTTAAGGCAATATTGTCATACTTTAGAAATCTTGGTATGGAGCCAAAATTGAAAATCATTCAATCCAATAAATGTAAAATTAAATAATTTTAAAATGCGTTTGATGTTCAACTCCGCCTGCCGTTATTGCTGGGTGGATGGGGTAGCTCAGCAATGCCGTTGCCGGTCCCAAGCCCGGATAAAGGAGGGTTCCCGGGTGAGGCCAGCGACCTGCCCGGGGTAAAAAGGATAGAAATGCTCATACAACAAAGGATAAGCCTCGGAATACGATTAATAAGACGAACATGGCACGAACAAGGGCATCGAAATGGAGAGACATTTTGTGAAACAAGACAGCATGAATATAGTGCCAATTTATAAATATGACTACATAAATGTAATGTATCAGGTTTTTTAAAATTTTAAGTAAGTATCCTTTGTAAAGAAACAGGCTCTAGCCTAAAATAAAAGGAAGAAGAAGAAGTTTGATGTTCGGTTATCATTCTTTGTGATTATTGCTTGTTCCGCAAGAAAAGGCACCTCTTCCCAGCAAACAATTCGAAATGGGGTTACAGTCCACTGAGTAGTCATTGCCATTCAACGCATCAAAAGGATGTTCCAAAGAATCACGAGACCAACTCACTTCCCATGAGTCTAGGCACTGTGTAATAAATCAGGCCGAGTATTACCAGACTGGAAGTTGCGAACGCGACGCCCACGTTCTGCAGCCGGGGTTATCCTTTCATTGGGTGGTATGAATAAAAGTAAGCAGTTGCTCTTTGCTCCGAGTTTCGGAGATCCTTCTCAGTTTCGTATGAATAAAGTGGGTGAGCAATTGCTCAGTCTCGCAGCACTTGCTCCATCTCTGAGCGTACTCTCAACTGGCGAGCAAATGCTCAGAATTGGTATGAATAAAGTTAAGCGTTTACCCTCTAGAGTGAGCACTCGCTCCAAAATTTCGGAGGGACCTGGATAGCAGACTCACGTTTGAAAAGTAAGGTTAAATTGGCCGATTTTTTACCGTGTGTTGATATGCAGATGAAGAGGACTAAACAAATTACAAGATAAGGCGAAATTCTGGTGATATAGACTATTAGAATCTTTACAGATTCGTAAAGGACAATGTATGGTTGGTACGATTTGTATCGGCGTTTGCTTTCAGGCGCGTTTTCATATTGCATATGTTCTATGTTCTATGTTCTATTGGCCATCGCTCTTTTCTACTCGGCATTTTTCGGGGTACTGTTTTTACAAACTTTGTAATGTTTCGTTTAGGCCACAGCGTACCTCCGGAAGGTAGCTCTTTTCAAAAATAATTTTATATTCGCTTAGCATTTCGGCAAAAAACAGCTGAGCCTCTGGCGCCTGTTCTTCGTTACTGCAACTGATTTTCGAATGTAAAGAACGAGACAACAAAAATTGCTTTTTTCTCCGCACAAATGTGCGCGTAACGTATGTGACCTCTTTGTTAATCAAGAAACCAATTTTTTAAAACTCTTAGCCTGCACTATGACTTGTTCACAAAGAGCAAATCCTCGCGAGCCATGAGTAAGTTCTTCGGAGACATACCAAGATTTATTCATATGAAATTTAGCTTCTGCTCAATGCTGCGGAGTAAACTCGCTTTGCTACGGAGCAAGTATTCCTGAGCAAGTGCTCAATTTTATTCATATGACCTATTTTGCCGTAACAATCTTATCAGTGCTGGGAACCCTCCCTGAAGCATCGGTGCTCATAGCGAAGGTAACGTAAGACTTGAGCGAACTAAAAAGTATTGGACTTTCAAATACAGACGAAACAAAAAAGAATCGAGGAACGCTAGGCATTGCTATTCGCCGTACAATGAACATCCGTACACGTACATGTGAACGATATGGATATGCACATAAATTTAGATTCTAATGGATTTAAATTCACAAACAATGTACATAATTTAAATGATAAAATAATGCATGACGATTGGAAGCTGTCATTAACGCTGTACTGACATTTGTTAGTTTAAAAGATAAATATGTGTAAATACTGCTAAATAGCCAAGCCGTCCTGATGTACTGTAAAAATATTTGTGTCACAGTTAGCAAACAAATTTTCATAAAAAATCTTCGTTTTCCCGACCAAAATCAAAAAATATTCTATCAATCATAAGTTTCTGTACAAAGCGAACCAAATAGTATTTGATTCAGCCAAACTTCAGTAACCTAGTCCTTTTTCTTCCCAGTGCATGAGAAACAAAATTCCTAAAAACACTATCAAACGCAGTAAAGCACTCGATCAGGGCGCACACAACCACACTCACCTGGACGTCACGGCCCAAGTTTAGGGTTACCATACGCCCTCTTCTCTCCGGACATGTCTCTTTCCTTTCTCGCAAGTACTAATGTAAGAAGAGAAAGTATTGTAATCGTGCGCTGGAAATTTTCGACACAAAAACTCTTATTGCTGGGCCCTGATAAGGAAAAAGTAAATAAATCCAATTGTTAAATATATTTTAAAAAATCCTCTAACAGGAGGTGTACCCTGAACCCATGTTTTGTGGGCCCTTGATATCGAAAAATCGATTGACGGCAACACGTCTATCTGTCTGTCCGTCTGAGCGCAACGCTTGCGCATAAACTGTCCAACCGATTTTAAAATTGATATTTCCCAATCGTTCTAGCTGATGCCGCGGACCCTGGAATTTGAAACCGATATTTTAATTTGAAGGGTTCTTTAAATGATGCCCCTGGGACATTTTTAAAATAAAAATAAAAAGTTCAAAGTTTTTGGATTACTTTTTGTTGTTGAATAATGCAATGGCGTTTAATGGTGTAGTATGGTCTCATCTTCGTTGTACCCGATTTTTCGAAAATTGGAAAAATATTTTAAAACTTGAAAATTGGAAATAGAGATTTTTGTCGACGACAAAGTCTGTTGTACAAATTTAGCGGGAGACGAGAGCGCGTGGGAGACGAGAAGCCGAGTGGGAGACGAGAGCGAAGTGGGAGACGAGAGCGGAGTAGGGAGACGAGAGCGAGTGGGAGACGAGAGCGCGTGGGAGACGAGAGCGCGTGGGAGACGAGAGCGAGTGGGAGACGAGAGCGCGTCGGAGACGAGAGCGCGTCGGAGACGAGAGCGAGTCAAGCGGAGCGACACGAGAGGGTGGTGAGAGGGGGGCCAGTAGGGGAGGGCGAGAGCGAGAGGGAGATTTGCTTTAAATTAAGTTCGCACTAACACAATCGGCTACCACAAAAACAAATATGTCATCTTATTGAACGATTTAATTGCTAATTAACTTGGCCTAATTTATTAAATTGCTCTTCGAACTTCTGATTAATTTATGGTGTACCAGCACTGAAGACTTAATTACTTGTAAGTTTAGGGACAAATTCTCACAGACCTCGCACTCTCCGAATATCATGCGTAAGTAGCCGTTATGAGTACATAATGTGCAATGTACGATTCAATGTTGAAAAATTGATTTGATTCAGAAAAACTTCATCTTCAATTACGTAGAGTTATATAAATAGCATCCTAAAATGAATCTTTTGCAATTTTCGCAACTGAGGGCGGGGACAAACACTAGTTAAAAGACAACACTTTTTCAGTGTCAAGGGAGCTCAAAACGTTTTTCTGTTATCCTCTCAATATCAATTTTCAACATTACATATATTTCCCTATACAACATAAACGAAAAAGTTGAACGACAGAGTGACAAAAAATATTTTTTAAGAAATGTCTATTGAATGAATAAAAGTATATTCTTCAACAAGCACATAATGATAAATATTATTCACGAATTGATGTTTACGACATGAACAACGTAGGAGAGAGAAGATTATACTTTCTTTGACCTTGAATACATTTTGAACAGATTTGCTCCTTAGCAACCAACCATCCAACGCTTTAAGAGCACCTTCATAGCAACGACCCTTCATATGCTGGATTCCATTAGAAATATTTTAGCGGACTATCGATTTTAACTTTTACCAATGATCATAAATCTTTCGATAAATATGTCTTTTTTGTCCCATTTCGTACACCCCCCCCCCCCAAGGCCCATTGCTCCCATTTGTCACCCTTTTCTGTTTGCCGACTTGGCTCATTTTGTCCTCTTTCGTAGAGACGTCAATCATGACCCCTAATCCCATTTTGCCTCCTGTACAATTGTGTCCCCATCCCATTTTTCGATCTGACCCATTTTGTATCCCTATCCCATTATGTCCACATTGTTCCATATATTCTCATGCCCCACTTTGTCTCGTTCCATTGTTTGCCCTAGTCCCATTTTGTCCTATTTTTTTAATTGTCTAATTTGTCCCATTACCCGATTGTGTTCGTTATCTCCCCTTTTCCAATTCTGTCCCTTATCGCCCACTTTTTAAATTTTGTGCCCTTACTCTCTTCTTTTCCTGCTTTGTCCCACTTGTCCCCCTTTGTCCTTTTGGTCCAGCCACGCACTGAGATTATTTAAAAATGGTATTGCAAAGAGAATGCAATCACGAAATTTTTTTTGATTGGTCGACATGCCGTGGATTTTGAACAGGAATCCACGGGGCGTGTAATCGATGTCATTCGTCGATTAAATATACAACAGGAATACGTCATTATTAAATGGCCGGGGAGAAAAGCACTTACCGCACTCCTCCGCCCCCTTGAGGAAGGCGCCGATGGCGCCCAGGTAGCCCTCGTGCCGCAGGAACAGGGCCTTCACTTGGCCCCGGCTCCAGTAGTTGATGGAGAAGGACACCGTGTGCATGCTCAGCGGGTGGTTCCGCAAGAAGTACCCGCCAAAGTAGACGGTGTTCAGTTTGTGCATCATAGCGTACAGGCAGGCGATTTGACCCACATCGTTGCTTATTGTGAAGAGCAAGCTGCGGGCCACATCTGCTTCTGAGAACTGTGTTGCTGCAAACAACAAACACATTCATTCGTAATCTGAAAAACAAAACAAAACACTAAAACTATTACATAACTTCCAATTAAAAGTTTTTACAAAGAAAAATCCTACTTACGTAATATTTTATAATTATCTTAATAGCAATTATTAATATGTTAATTGGATTATTATAATAGTCATTTGAACTTTAAAAGAATATCAATTATATTTACTATCTTTAATGCATGTTCACAATTTCACATACTTCCTAAAAAGCATTAATACATTTCATTTTCATTACATTACAAATTAGTGAAATGAGTATGTAGCAAGCCCGAATATCTAGTCGAGACCAATGGAAATAGAAAAATAATACAGGAAAGAGCGCAGGCTTCTGCGGCCGGAGTCAGTCTTTAATTGGCAGTCCGGGTGGCGCCGCGTCCATGGCGAAGGGGCCGACGTTTTGGTCGCCATTCTGAAGCACCACTAGTTTTTTAACAATTCCTTTAAATATTTCTCCAGAGTTCATTTTCTCTCCATACTTGATTCTGCCATGCCCACGGTCCCTAAGTATCGTAATGCAGGCTTTTTACCCTTAAATACCCCTTGCACTCCTGGAACACCATTCCACTCTCTGAAGGCCCTTTTACACGCCTAATAACATATGAGTTTCTGCCGGTAGCGGCATGGAGCAAGCGGCTAATGACAATCGCTTTTCGGCGCGAGGTCGGGTGTTGAATAAATACCACGCGCTGTGTCCCACCGAATCTCAAGTAACATCAAGCTTCAATCTGAAGCAAGCAGTCGCGCGTCGCCGCCACCAGTTCTAGCCCACGCAGGACCCGGCCTTTGTTTCCGCAGTGAAACAATACCGTAAAGTCATCAGAAGGCCCCCTTCCGGGTTGGCTACCTCTACCTCAGGGGAGTCTTCGATTACGACCTTTGGCCGACGATATTTTCCGCGATCTCTCAAGTGTTGGAATTTGTGGCATTGAGGCGTTTTTTTTTTTTTTTTGTCCAGGAGGGAATTAATTCCAAGGAAGTATTTCCTACGTTCACAATAGCCGAGGGTGAGTTCATTATAACCGATTCTTCAGCTTATTTGTAATGTACGTGAAACGGGACATGTGACTTAAGTTCACAATAACTACGGTTCTACGATAATCAATTTGAAAAATTGAGAAAATTAGAAAACAACTTTTGGGCGGCGATAGATGGCAGCTGGAAAGATTGGGCAAGACACAAAAGCTAGCCCAGGCGAAGAAAATGAGAAAACTAATACGAGAAAGTCGGTACCTTTCTTTAGTTAATATTGTACTAAAAATTTCGTTCCGTGTTAGGCAAGTTTCCGGCTTATCCAATGTACTTTCAATTGGAAAACAACCCGTTCACATACTTCTTCGAAGTTTCCGCCTTATATATGTTTTACTGTATGCGACCTCACTTGGCGCCTTGCTATTGTATGATATCAGTTGTGTAGTAGGCAGGGACGCTATGATTATGAAAATTCAGTCAGTTCACGGAGTATGAGAAAAGGCGTATTTTCACAATCAATGTTTTACATTTTTCAGTTAAAATCGAAACATTCATTGTTTTTTGATTTCCCCCGACTCTGGGTAACTAACGTAACCACAGACATCTCTCAAATGCTCGTGGGCTACAGTTTCCTTCGATTTCTGCGAAAAGTACTAACACATATGGCTAACAAACTGATTGATTGGCTTAAAGAAAGTAGGATCGGAATATTCTGCCATAAAAATTAGTACTTGTAAGATTTTGGAAATTAGATTATTGGTGTTCTAAATTATATATTCTTACCAAATTAAAGAACAGGAACTATTAAGTAATTAAAAGAATGTTGGTAAATTCCTTGTCGCAGAGGCTGTGTATTTTTCTTGTTACAGAATTTATACATGTAGTACTTATTCAACAATAAGTGAAAGGACCATTTTATCTAGTGCATGGCTACATGTAAGAGGACATAACAGGATCCATCTTTTCCATCAACTGACGATAGAATATGTCCCACATAATCTCCACAGAGGATCAACGAGAGCTTCCTTACCTGCGTTAAAATTGCGATCCTTGTGAGAATGCATCGCTTTGCCAAACGAAGAAGCAATCAGATCCCCAGGCAAGCCCATCGATTTGTAGTCCCCGCCGTAGATGTCCTTAACCAACATGTCCACATTGCGATGGTCCCCCTTTTCAGCTAATTCCAGCAACTCATCAAAACCCTAGCAAACACAGGTTGTTCATTACTCACATAAAATGAACTGAAAACAAATTTAAAAGCACAACACACACTACACATCGAAACGACACATTGCTTTGCAAACAAAGAATGAAAGAATGATCAAGAATATATTTTTCCTTCACACCCGAAAACTTTTGAACGCCTACAAGGGGTGAGAATATCTTATTAAGTACCCCAGAATTTAAAAAAAAATTATATTTGGAGAAAAATTAGAATTTTTAAATTCAGTGGCGGCTCGTGGACTCTTGGGGAGGATATACCAGAAGTTTCACTAGCAACAGTCTCTCACAATAGACAACAAAAATGTTCATTAATTATTTTCCGTTGGGGTTTCCCAAGCTTCCATTTGGAACATCTCCACAATACAATCTCCTAAATCACGTTTTTAAGCTTCTTTTGTGCTGCAACATTGCACACGCCAGGATTAATATCTGGTTGGGTGATTGTTGGTAATTCCGGATGGGTCAACTACCGACGTTATTATTCCCGTAAGTGTAATCCATTTTTCCTCCGGAGATGGTGGTGATCTTTCCACGCTGGATAGCGAGATCCGGCGCCTAACTACGGTCGGCTAGGGGGTTTCCCACAACCAGGTATCTCCCAAAATGGGGGCACCGCCCCAGCCGGGACAAGCTCTAAACTCACGACCGGTCTCTCGGCATGTGTGGTAGAGTAGTTCATGTTAGTGTATGTGTGCTCAAGGGGTGAGGAGACGACAAGGAAGAGGAAGGTAAGATCGCGCGCGGTCTGTGGCCCGTTTGTTAGGGTACTGCTCCGGCATTCGCCTGGTGTTGATCGGAGAAACCACGGAAAACGACCGATCAGAGCAGTCGGCCTCTAGAATGCTCCTCCAGAGAGTGACTGAAAGCAACGTGGGTAACAAGCTAGTGTTGTGAAATCTTTCCACTGTCGGGACACGAACCAAAGACCTACCGCATTAAGATCTACTAAGGATGTTCCAACGATGATATTGGTGCAGGTGTCGTGGAGATACACGCAAGTTTGTATCCGACAATCCTAATGTGTATGGGTATCCGATGGGTATGTGTAAGTGTATGGGTTAGTGGTGGGTGGGTGGCGTGGACGGACGGACGACGGAAGGGAGGGACGACGGAGGGAGTGAGGAACGGACGTGGACGACGGAGGAGACAGGAGGGAGGACGGGGGCACGACGGGAGGAGGAGACGAGGGAAGGCACGACGTGGGAACGATAGAGGAGACGGGAACGGCACGGAGGAAGGACGAGGAACGACGAGGAGGACGGGGAAGGACGTGAGGATGGACGGAGGAGGGAGAGGTCGAGGACGAGACGGAGTACGGAGGGACGGACGGACGGAGGGAGAGTCGGACGGAGGGAGAGTCGGACGGAGGGACGGACGGATCGAAAGAATGTGTCATGCATAACTCAGATTATAATCTATTTCGTTAAGAAACAAGATCGGCCCCAACTGACCTGCCAACCTGCCTTCACCCCACGTCGGTTCAGATCGGCCCAAACTGGCCTGCCGTCATCCTTCCACTCTTCCGGTGTTTCAGATCAGCCCTAAATGGCTCTGCCGACTCTCCTCCCTGCTAGTCTAGACCGACCCTTCGGGGTCCTGCTAGCAGCTCAACGCCCTGCCCAATCCCGACCGCCGTTCACTCTTGAGTATCGTCGATCCGTCCGATGGCCGCTGCAAAGTCGCTCTTCCGGAGAAGAGTCTTCGCCGCGGCTGGGCTACGTCAGGTGCCGATGTAACACCGCCGAATAAACTGCTGTTTGTCGTGAGACTAGCGTCATCCGTGTTCCCATTGCTCCCTCGCATCCGCCCTACGCCTATTGGAGAATAGGGCCCCTTCCGTCCTTCCACTCCCCCGCACGTGATGACAGACTCTTCCCCTGCGACTAAATGAAACGTAGTTGGCCCTAGATGCGTTATCACTTGCTCTTATTAATCAATTTTATGGAATATGTTTTTATTTCTCGATGCAATTCAACCCTGAATTGAATTGCGTTATTCAGAAAGCGACAAAAACCCCAAATTGTAAGTGTGCCACAGTGGCGCTTTTTAGACACCTTTTTCTTCGATTTTCATAATGAATCCAAGCATGTTGGAATAGTGCTGATCATTGGAAGTACAAAAGCTAAACCGCGTATTACGGTTCTTATGTTAATATTTTATACAAAAAATACCAATGATAAATTTTGGTTTAATTATGAAACATTTGTGAGTTATGGAATAAGTACATTCCACACTTCATTTCATTTTCCGCGAGCATCTTACCGCATGAAAGTTTAAGATAAGTTCCAATTTTCCAAGACTTTTTCTAACATATTTATTCTTGTGTATTGGACATTATCGGCATAACTTCATTCAATTGTAATCATTAAATAATGGCATTAAAAAAAGAGTTATTGTTAAGAGGATGAAAAATTTCGTTACGCGGCGCAATCCCACTAGTTACTTTCTCGGTACTGCATACGCAGTACTCTGATAGAGAAAGTATTGTAATGATGCGGAAAAAGGCGAATTTTCGACAGAAAAAACTTACCGCCGTGTCCTAGTACCGAAAAAGTGGATATTCCTCAAAGTCAAAAATTTAATTTAGGCCGTAATGTTGTTTTCCCTTGCCGAATACAATCCAAATTTCCAAAAGATAAATTGCGCCCACCTTCATTATTAGTATTAATATTAATGCCCCCAAAATAATTTAATTAATATCAAAATCTTTCAAATTAAACAACTATTTTAAACTACCAAAATTAGTGATAAAGTTATTTTATTAATTATTAGTGATTAGTGATAATAAAACTACCAATTTATAAATGAGTTTACAATTAACGATGGTGCCAAAACCTATAGTGTCTATTAATTAAATTGTACTCAAGCTCTTGAAAGGCCTTCTTGCCGAACAACAAATAAATAAATAAATAAATAAAAGAAAGAAACAAGTGGATAAATCATGTCTCTATGTACAGTAAATTATTTGTTCTTAACACGATGTGTAATCAAAATACATGTTTTGTGGATCCTAGATAAAATCGATTAACGGTAAAACGTCTATCTTCCTCTCTCTGTCAAACCGTCCGTCTCCGCCTGCGCAACATCTTTTGTCAGGAATATGATACCATTCTTCTTGTGTGATCAAATCCTCGTTGGCAACGCGCGTGATTTTCCGACACCATTGGTTGAGAATAATAATAATAATAATAATAATAATAATAATAATAATAATAATTATTATTATTATTATTATAAAAAGAAGAAACAAATTTCCTTTTATTCTATTGAAATGCTTTAGATGTAAGTAAATCGTGTTATTTGCGACAACGTATAGGCCTACTGCCACTCTTACTAGTATTTCGAAACGCGAGTTTAACGTCTGCATTAAAAGCATTAGTATAAAATTGCTTTTTATTTATAACGACTTTAGAAATTTAAAAAAATACGTTAGAGAGACCATTAGTAATTTGGGACAACTTTAGAATAAAAAGGGATTTTTGTGAAATTTTAAAATCTCGGAGCTCTTTCCATTTCCTTGAGAAAATAATTTATGAAGAAAATTTTATGACCTTTCAAACTGTACATAAATAATCGTTCTAAGATCAACCATTAAAGAGGTATTACGCAAAAAACAAAAAATTCCCGATTTTTTTTGTTTTTTTAGCTACCAAAACTTAAAACGAAGTACTGATCCTTACACCGGTATTGTGTACGGTATTTAATGGATGGACGGTTGATCGAGAGCTGGTATATACACAATGCATTCATAACCCAAAATTGGGCGGAAGAGGGTCCTATACAAATGCAAGAGAGACACACGGTCTGCGCCCACAGTGCTATTTGTAAGGATGTGGAGGAGGTTGGGAGGTGACACACATCGGCTCTTCAATTTATAAATATGTTTTCACCTAGTCGAATGTAAGCCCGAAAGTTGCGGGTTCGACGAAAGGGAGTTGACTCCCCAAGACAAAGATCAGGATCGTAATGGAGATGATCAATCCTGCAGAGGTGCATGTAGTGGAGAACTTGAATCCTGTTTCATCGCTTCATTCCTGTAATTTGTTGTGGACAAGTAACTGCCTCTCAAATCACTTGCATGCTCCCGGAAGAGCAAAAAAATGGCAAAGTCGTCAACGAAGAGCGATGCCTTCACCGGCTCTCGGATTATTGATGCTATACTATAGATAGCTATGGTAAACAGTGTGACACTCAGAATAAATTCCTGAGGGACCGCACTTCCCGTTTCTAACTGATTACTGACGGATACCCTGTCACCAAGGCGGGGTGATATCAAAGAACGAGAATAAACGATGGGGAAGATAAAGATGACTGGTGAAAGAAAGGAACACCACCTAAAAGCTCTCCCTGCATCCCCCCGTCAGGACGTGAACCGACCAACTTCGATTGGTCGAAGGATGACATGCGGAGTTCCACAAGGTTCTAAAATTGGGACACTTCTGTGGAACGTTTTGTATGCATTTCTTGAAATGCATTTACCAGAGGGAACGCTGCTAATAGGCTTCGCAGATGATGCAATAACGCCAGTCGGGCAGACACCGCAGAGGAACTGCAGGCTGTGGTAAACGACAGCATGGAAACACAGAAACCATACTCGTCACAGAAACTTTGCTAAACCTATGATCATTGCCGCAGGCACTGAAATCACATATAAGACCAGCCTCAAGTACCTGGGAGTACAGATATAATCGAAACTTGGACAAAGAAGCGCCAATCGTTGAAATTGGCCTACAAACTGTCCCAAAAGTTCCTTTATGTTTTCAATTTCATCCGCTGAAAGAATCTCTGACTGGTCTCCATAGTACAATATCTTCTCCATTTCATGGTGACCTTCAGAGACGGAAATCGATTGCATGATTGTTTTGACTAGAGTTGAGATAGTGAAAATATGAGATTATGCAGCCCTTACATCGACATGAACTGGCAATATTTTGTCCCCAGTGTACACAGTGTTGAACAGTACAGTCAAATTACACCCGTCCATAATACGACCAACAACCCCATTAAAGAGATCAAGTTAAATTCCCCCAACTTATGCCCATCAGACAATTTTTGGTCTTTGTTGCAACATGCCATTGCACATTATGCCTTCTAATACAGCTAGGTTGAGTTCAGTCACGGTCTGAAGGATAATTCTAGCTGTCGGTTACTAGTGGTTTGTTATTAAAAAAAAAGTGTGGTGTGGTTTCTCGTTTCTTCCACGAATCATTGCCCCCACCAATGCTTTATATTTTTTGCAAAGCCATAGCACGCCATAATCAGAAGATACGACTGTGCACTCTTCAGTGAAAAATTCACAGAGAGCTTTGATCATCATATCATTACAGCTAATCTCACATTATTTGCCCTTTCAAAAAAATTCTTAAAAGTCCTTAATGATCCTTCCAACCACTACGGTTAATAGTGTGTCTTTCAATTAAAATTTTGACATGGAAACTATCACAAATAGTCTAAAACTAGTGGCCTACAGCAGTAAAAATGTGGTTGAGTGTAAGAAAAAAGGTCCTAGAGCTGCAAAAAAATGGCTGTTCTAAAAAGGCACATATGAATACTTTGCCACATGACATTAGCACTAAGAGAAGCAAGGATGCAGTGCAAGATATAGTCGGAACATCAGGTATGAGAAATTGCAGATAAACATAATCAAATATTAATGTTTGTCAGTGAAAAACAAAACTGTTACATTGTTTTTGTATTTTCCTGACTTCCTGGGTATCTAATGAAACCGTTACACTGAAACTCTCCTCACATGACCCAAGGCTATTAAGTTTTCCAACAATTAAAGCATATTGGGGGAATTAGTAATAAAGAAGATTTTATCTATGCTCCTTGAAGCAGTTTAGCGGTCCCATACAGGATCATGGACTCTTGTTTCAGAACTGACTTAAATAAACACAAATATTTTTAATATAAGTTTCCTGAATCATTTTGATTCAGCAGCGATTAAAACAAAATAAATCAATCAATTCATAATAATTTAATTATATAAATTAGGCAATTAATTTAATCACCTATTAATTAAATTAATTGCTTGAAAGAAACAAATTGCAAAAATAGATGTCACTACATGCAATTAAAAAGTTAAGTTGTAGCTTAATATGCATGCCCAAAGCACACTGCACTTCAAGGTGTTCTAGTACATAAGCTTGTTCTTCTGATGGAATGAAGGATTGCAAAAGTTTTGCCAACATTTAACATGCACTAAAGCATATACCGTATATCAGACCAAAAATATGTATTTCTGGCAATATTATTTATTTCTTTATAAGAACCTCTTTCTACAAAAGTAAGTAGTTTTCAATGTAAAGGTGAAAAAGTGTAATAGAGGTAATTTTTTAGTTTTCTCAGAACATACATTCAGCAACAATTAAAACTTAAAAAACAATAAATAAGATAGAGTTAAAATTTGTTTACAGATCTTCCTCCTCCCCCAAACCACACACAATAATAGAGAAAAATACTTAATTTTTTCTGGATTAGCCTCATATTCAGCCAAGTGACTGGAATAATACTGAAATGAAATGTGAATGTTCAGAACATTTCCCTTAATAGAATACTACTTTCCTCGAAATTAGAAATTTTCGATTATATTTGCAATTGCATTTGGACTTTGCAAATTATGCAAGATTAGACGTTATTTAGAGATATTATTTGCGAGATTAAATGTTCTTTCCTACATTATGTATGAAGAAATTTTAAAACCTCAATATCAATGTACAAATGTGCTTCCTTCCTGAATTGAGAAAACTTATTAATAAATTCTTAAATTAAATTATTTAATATTAAATTAAATTCATTTATTTGTTTCTTATTAATGGGCTTACCTACGCTAAAAAATGCAAACTCAATTCCACAGTTGACCATTAAGGTAGTAACAAAAATAAAAGCAAAAAGTGGATCATAATGTAAAGTACATAGACTGCTTGTATTTTAACTTCCCACTGAGACAAACTGCTCGACAAGTAGAAGAAATGGGGATGTGTAATGATCTATTGCGTATCAATTTCACCACAACATTTGCTATTACCTATACCATATCACAATTTGTGCTGAGCTATTGAATCATGAAGAGGGCTGAAATGATTGAAGCTCCTGTGTGGTGATGTGGGCATGCCTGTGCTCCTTGTGTATAGTGATACTTTCTTTGTAAGGGAATAGTGCAGCAGGTAATCGCCAAAGAATGAGCCGAAAAGCTCATCTACAGGTAACACAAATGCCTAAATCTTTATGTAGAAAAATAACCATGATCATTCTGGGATCACCATAAATTATGCAATGCTAAAGAGGTGGGGGAGCCGGTATGAAGGAGCATTATGAGTTACATGGGAATGAGGAATACTATTCTAATGTTATGTTTTTTTTATTTTTCAACATTTTCATTCAGTCTTACACTAAAATTTTAACAAATTAAATTAAATTATAAATAAATTAAAAAGTTATGATGTATAAAATGTTTACAATAATTAAAAATATCTATACATTAATGCTATAATGATTGGATTTGATATTACGAAGAAAATATTTGAAACTGACCTACAGCCTATTTTAGAATTCAATGAAATAGAAGCAGTAGATTCTCAACATTGAACTGCCCACAATAACATGTGCACTATGTAATAGCCAGACATTTTCTCACCAATGCTTCCTTTCTTCCATCAAGAAAAAATTGTCCCCATATCTTACCGTCAGCATTCAGCATTGCCAATCATTTCCAACTTCAAATATCATTAATTTTAATACGTAACACAATAAAACTAGTGCAAATTGTTTTAACTGTTAGACAAGTAATTTTTACTTTTGGAAATGGTGAGTGGAGGGTTTGAAAACATTACCTACTTATTAAGGGAGGTTCAAGCCCACTTGAACATTTGCATTTCGTGCATTTCGGGGTGGAGGGAGGGTATTCAAAATGTTCTAAAATGCCCCTCACAGCTTTTGTCATAAATTAATTTAATTTTTAAGTTTGGCTAACCATTATGGTCCAACAGACATCAAAACAAACAGCTCTTGAACTAAAGAAAATAAAACCTGAAGGCTCATACAAATCTTACCTTGGCTTTTGTAAGTAGAGTGCCCAAGCCCCAAAATGTTCCTCCACCAGTAGCTGTTCCACCAATTCTCTCGTAAGAATCATCAGACATCACCTACAACACACGTCATCAAATTACAAACAGATGCATTGAAACAGTAAAAGCAAATGGACAATGACAATATGATTATAAGTGCCTATTCTGAACAGGTACAATTACAAAAATATATGAAAAATGCCTGCAATCATTTTGAACTTCATGAGGGATTGAGAGAAAATAAATGACTTTCCTAGTGAAGAGTACCTTCATGCTCACCAAAAATGGCATAGACCTCTTTCAGCTTTGTAGCTTCACACTATCCCTTGGCCCCATTTCGGTGGTTACTCCATTGTTCTGGGTGAAGAGTCCCTCAATTACAATACAGATTCAACAAATGGTTGCCAGTCAGGCGAAGAGATTTTGGAGGGACCAGCACTTATTCTGTTTTTAGGCAGTCATTCTTTCTCCTTCATTCCCCACATTCATTGTCATATGAACTTACATTTACGAAAGAACACCAAAATTGTCATTTTAAGGTATCATAATATTTTTATTATGATTATATTTTATGACTGCAAGTTCTGTAAATTTATTTTAACGTTTATTATACATTTGTATATATTGTTGCAACACTCAATAATTCAGTTACTAATTTTTGAATTATGCTAGCAACAGAATTCTAATGTGTGCTGCAATAATCTGTTTAGTATGTCATAATTTATGCAACTTCAATTTTGTTTGTTTGAAATCTGCGGGATATAGGACTGGGGTGTAATTCTCGGTTGCACACTTACAGGGTTTTTTGCCGACTACAATCTTTCTTCAGCATATGATATACAATGGAATAAAACACTTTAAATATATGACAATTTTTCACTAAACTTCAAGATCAAAAAATTCAAAATAGGGGTTTTTTGTGCCTGTTCCTGTGTTCTAAGACAGTCAAAATTACTTCTGGCTGAAATGTAGTATACGGTACAACCTAAGGAAGTCGTTTAAACCGGCACTTTGTGCCGTTCTGGTGTTAACATGCAGTTAGAATTCTGGAGGCTTTCTTGAAAAGTGATGTCTTATAAAAGTGAATTGGTAATTATGCGTTGGATAGACTCAAGGATGTTTATAGTGAATGCGAGGGCCGAAGGCCCGAGCTTCGCCGTGACTTGGATCTGGGTGAGCAAAGCGAGAAAACTTACCTTTGAAAGTAAATTGGCGTTACAATGCGGGGACAAAGCATATGAAGGGCGAACCATGAAAATAGCCTATCCGTAAGTTTTATTCATTTCTACGTACAGTAATTAGGGCTTAAGCCCCGCCACCACACTGCTCTAAGGGTGTAATGTATACTAAATTTTAATCTTACTCTTTTGTTAATTTTTCAATTTTTTTTTCTTTGTTTGCATTAGGCACCCCCATAAAATATCAAATAATATTTTTTGATGTTGTAAATTATTTCCTTGTTTTAAATGGTTTTTACAATTCCAAAAGTTAATGTTAAGTTGACAAAAAAAGAAACCAACAGTTTTGAGGCTGCTGATGAGTAGGGATGGTCAAAGAGGAGGAAGCTAGGAAACCTTTCAAAAATTTAATTTTTGTGTTAATCATAGTTTAACTACTCATATATCATTTTATTTTACGAAACATTTTACTGTATTCTCCAGGAGTACCCTTTAGAATGATACTTAAAAAGTTGCATGGTTATATGACGAAAATGTGTGATGTTGAATACCGTTTAGTGAATTTAACAATTAAAAATAAAACATACAAAAATTATATTTATAAAACTAAAGGCTTAATGGCCCTCAAATTTTGGAATGCTACATAGAGCATGAAGATGAAATAGACATTAATGTAAATACCTAGTACATTTTGATTGTGGCATATCCAAAACTGAGAATTCAAAATTTCTAATTTTTTTTTATAGTCACCATTTCAATATTTTTTTAAAACTTACCTTCATTATGCTAACACCAGATCCAATATTTACCAACAAATATGGAAATATATTTGGATCAGCATTTTGGAATTTGTACTCTGGATTGCCATGACGATGATATTCAAATGCTTCGTCAGGTATATTCTTGAGCAAAAAGTTACAACCTTTTATGAGGCAGCTAATTTCATCTTCTTTATCAACACTGTAAAACCCAACATCACATTGCAGAAAAAACACAAACACACACACACTGCATTTATAAATTTTGAGAAACATAACTTACGAAAGCCCTAATTTTTCATTAAGAAGTTCTGTATATTTATAAGCACCACCTCCAGTAGCTTTGATAACTTTTCCAGTCATATTCTCATGAGTATTCATAAGATTGGCATGGACAAAATCTAAACAATTCTCAATGTACTTGGTTTCAAATTTTATGAAGTGTAACCGGGCTCCTTGAGAAACTTCATAGTGTTGATGGCTCTATAAACATTTAGAGTAACACATCAAAGGCATGTATTAAAGGTTTCTTGTAACAAATGGGTTTCTCTTAAAAATACTTACATCTTCTGACTGTGATGGGCCATATTCCTTATCAACATCATACAAGGCTCGCCTGTACTGTACAGTAGAATAATAAGCAATTTTTGTGAGAGAGCCACCTGTAATGTTTAAGAATCATTAAAACAGTGCAGAAGACAAACATATACCATCCGAAATAATTACTAACCAATGTCAATGGCAAATCTTTTGGCATTTTTTAAATTACCAAACACTTCTATAGTGTTTGGTAATTTTATACTTTTGGGGTGACTTTTCTCGTTCATTGTTTCAAGGTACAAACTGACGCTAATTTATTCTCGAGGTGATATGTCTAATTCTGTTCTCCTCTCAAGTTCTATTTCAAGCTGTACTTGCATTGCACTCTAAACAAATCAAACAATTACACAACCAGTTTAGTGTTTTTACGCATCGTCATAACTCATTACAAGAGGCACCGCCTGGCGCCAGCCTGAGAATCCTATAGCATACTCGGTAAGCTCGCCTCCCAGCACGCAAGCAAAATATAAGACAACAGTATATCCAGCAGCTGACTGGTTACGAATGTCGAATTACGACAGCATGGGAGGGAAGGAGCATAAATTTGTGGCATGAGCACACCGAATATCCAATGCGCGCGACTTTCGAATCTCGTCTGGCCACTTCCCGTCTTAGGATTGCATAAAAACATCGATCGTTTATTTGCATCAGTATATTTTTCCGCACCAAAACATCGATGTTTTCGAAAGAATTCATATCATTAATAAAATTTTAAGTGATATTTTGTGAACTCCTCAAACCAACATAATATTTATTGAGTCACATGTACAATTACAATGTGTACGACCAGTCAAATATGAAGTATGTGGAGGGAGTGCAATTGCGCACATCTTTTTGGGTGCAGAGAGTGAAGCAGGGGGGGATCTAACGATCGTTTAAGAGGGGCCATCCTAGATTTTTGTTAAATAATTAACACATTTGTTATTATATAATATAATATTTATATATTGTAGATATGATACTATACAATATTATTGTTTAAATAATTGCATAATTCGACCATAAATGAATATTTAAATCAATTTTACCAAACAAAGGAAGGAAAACAAAAAGTCCATGCTATCTTGGGGGGAGGAGGGGGGCATTGTCACCCTCTGGATCTACCAGTGGAGTGAATTTACACTTATTGTCCTGAGGCACAACAGAGGGCCAGCTCAGAACTTGCTCGAAGAATTAGGAAAACTGAAGGGGGAAAGAGGATGTCATTAATAATAATATTAATAATCATAATAATAATAATAATAAATAATAATAATAATAATTAATAATATAATTAAAATAATACAATAATATAATAATAATAATAAATAATAATAATAATAATAATAAATATTAATAATAATAATAATAATAATAAGAAGAGAAGAAGAAGAAGAAGAAGAAGAAAATAATAATAAGAACAGTAATAAGAACAACAATATAATAGAAGAATAAGCATGGTGAGAAGAGAATAAGCATAATGAGAAATGAGAATTAAGAAATGAGAACAGAATAGAGAAAGGAAATGAGAAATGAAAAAGGGACATGAGAAAGGAGACATGAGAAAGGAGACATGAGAAAGGAGACATGAGAAAGGAGACACGAGAAAGGAGAAATGAGAAGGAGAGAGGAGAATTGAGAAATGAGAATTAAGAAATGTGAATTGAGAAATGAGAATTGAGAAATGAGAATTGAGAAATGAGAATTGAGAAATTAAATTTGAAATATGAGAACTGAGAAATGAGAATTGAGGAATGAGAAATGAGGAAAGAGAACTGAGAAATAAGGAATGAGAAATGAAAAACAAGAATTGAGAAATGAGGATTGAGAAGTGATAATTGAGAAATGAGAATTAAGAATTGAAAAATGAGAAATGAGAAATGAGAATTGAGAAATTAGAAATGAGAATTTTGAAATGAGAATTGAGAAATGAAAATTGTGATATAGGAATTGGAAAGTGAGAATTGAGAAATGAGAATTAAAAAATGAGAATTGAGATTAGTGAATTGAGACTAAAGAATTGAGACTATAAAATTGAGAATAGAGAATTGTGATTAGAATAATTATAATAGAGAAGAATAGAGAATTGAGAATACAGAATTGAGAATAGAGTATTGAGAATAGTGAATTAATAGTAAAGAAGTAAGAATAGAGAATTGAGAAGTAAGAATAAAGAATTGAGAATAGAGAAGTGAAAATAGAGAAGTGTGATGTGAGAAGTAAGACGTGAGAAGTCAGACGTGAGACGTGAAACGCGAGACGTGAAAAGTGAGAAGTGAAAAAAAGACGTGAGACATGAGACGTGAGAGATATGAGGTGTGACGTGAGACGTGAAACGTTAGACGCGAGACGTGAGAAGTGTGACTGAGAAGTGAGAAGTACGAAGTGAAAAGTGAGAAATGAGAATTGAGGAATGAGAATTGAGAAATTAGAAATGAGAAAATAGTAATGAGAAATAATAAATAGAATTGGGGGGAAAATGAGAAAACAAAATTGAGAAATGGGAATTGAGACATGAGAATTTAGAAATGAGAAGTGAGTACAATTAGTGAGGAATGAGAAACGATAACTGAGAAAGAGAATTGATAAAGAGAATTGAAAAATGAGAATTGAGAAATGAGAAGTGAGAAAAGAGATATGAGAATGGAGGAAAGAGGAATGAGAAACGAGTATCGAGAATCGAAAATCGAGAATCAAAAACGGGAAACGATTAACGAGGAACAAGAAGCGAGAATCGGTAATCGAAAAGCGAGAGGCAAGAAGCTAGAACAGAGAATCGAGGAACGAGAATTTAGAATCGAGAATCAAAAAACGAGAATCGAGAAACCAGAATAAAAAACGAGTATCGAGAAAGGAGAATCGAGAATTGATAAACGAGAATCGAGAAAGGATGGTCGCGGAATGAGAAACGCAGAATGGGAAACGAGAACTGCGAGCCGAGAATTTAGAATCTAATATCGAGAATCGTGAAACGACGAACGAGAATGGAGAATCGAGAGGCGAAGGACGAGAAGCGAGAGGCTAGAATCGAGACTCGAGAATCAAAAAAGCAGAAACGTAAAACGAGAATCGGGAACGATAATCGAGAGACGAGGATTGAGAATTGAGAAACGATGAACGCGGATTGAGAAACGCAGAATGGGAAACGAGAAATGAGAATTCAGAAATTAAAAGTCATAAATGAGAATAGAGAATTAAAAATAGAGAATTGAGAATAGAGAGTTGAGAACAGAGAATTGAGAAAAGAGAATTGAGAAAAGAGAATTGGGAAAAGAGAATTGAGAAAAGAGAATTGATAATAAAGATGACGAGTGAGACGAGATAAGTGAGACGTGAGAGTGAGATATTAGATGTGGGAAGTCAGAAGTGAGATGTGAGAATTGAGAAATAAGAAATGAGAATTGAAAATTGGGAATTGGGAATTGAGAAATAAGAATTGAGAATATAATTTAGAGAATTGATTATTAAGAATAGAGAAGTAAGAACAGAGAAGTGAGAATAGAGATGTGAGAATGGAGAAGTGAGAACAGAGAATTAAGAAGTGAGACGTGAAAAGTGAGGAGTGAGAATTGACAAATGAAAATTGAGAAATGAGAAATAAAAATGAGAATTGAGATTTGAAAATAGAGAAATGTGAAATGAGAATTGAGGATTGAGAAATGAGGAGAAAGAATTGAGGAATGAGAAACGATAATTGAGAAACAGAATTGATAAATGAGAATTGAGAGAAGAAGAAAAAAAAGAAGAGAAAGAAAAAAATAAAAAGAACATAAATATTGAGATGGGATCAAGATTTGTACCATTTTCAAATTTACATTTTCATGGGTATAGTAATTTTACTGGACTACTTATTTCTAGAAACCATGATTGAATATTGATACTCTAGCTGCAGCAATTTCCATATTATCCAATGTGTAGTTTATTTCTTGCTCCAAAATTTCCAATATATTGTTAGAAATTATATATTGACAAAAACATTAATTTAATGGAAAAGTAGTCATTTAATTAAATAATTAAAAGAGATGTAGGCATAATTAGTTCAGTTTTTTTAATTCATAAAATGTTTCATTTATTTACGTTCTACTTTTTTAAAAAAATGGTTCATCCTCCTTTTCATTGTAAAAACATTAGTCAACTTACATATTTGTTACTGATGTATTCCTGAGCAGTATATAAAACAGATTTTGTCCATTAGTAGAGCCCATTCATATAGAGAACATACCCTTCTGGTATAATGTATATGTGCACATTTGTTGATGAAGGTGCTTGCCATGTGTTGTACGAGTGTAAGCTTGCAATAAATTTGTAGGATGAGTCGTGTATTAATTTTTCTTTACGAACATGAGAACTTCATAAATGAACACATAAGGCACAGGAAGTATGTTAATTTTTTGAATTGAGGTCTACAAGACTTTGTTCTTTTTGTATTTGCTATTGTCCGGATGATTCTCTTTGGTATTTTGAATGTTTGCTTAGCCTCTGGTGCTTTGCCCCAGATTATTATTCCGCATTTGAAAATAAGAGTACTCATTTGCAAAGTACACTGTTCAAACTTTCAATGGTGCTGTTTCTTGTTATTGTTCTAAGAGCATAATTAGTGTGCTCAATTTTGAATTAATATCTTCCAGGTGAGAGTTCCATTTCAGGTTGGATTGTATGGTGATTTCAAGTAATTTTGTTTTGTTCTTGTGCGATGCTTTTGCCTTCTAATGTTAAATTTGGTTAGTATTGTTGTATGAGTGGGAGTTGTGGTGTGGAAGATCATTCTGATTGTTTTGTCTGTGTAGGGTTAGTTTGTCAACGGCTGAGTTTTGTCTTAGTTGTTTTTCTTTTAATATTATATTAATGTCACTGGCAAAAAGTACAATTTTGTCGATTTTCATTATTGATGGCAAGTCATTTACAAATATAAGAAATAAAATTGGGCCTAGTGTGGATCTTTGTGGGACCCCATAGGGCATATCTCTTAGTTCAGAGTGAGGATTCTTTATTTTGTTGTCTTTTTGGCAGGGGAGGCTACTATTTGTTTTCTGTCTGATAGATATGATTATATCCACTTTTAAACAATTTCTCAGATTCCATTAGATTTTAATTTTGACAACAAAATTCTATGATCTATTGTGTCAAAGGCTTTTGACAGGTCGAAGAAGAGACCAACAGGAATTTCTTTTTACTCTAATGCCATGAATATTTCATATATAAAGGTTACTAAAGCAATTTCAGTTGATAGATTTTCCCTGAATCCATGTAGTGAGTCAGTGATAATGTTACAGCGTATCAGGTAGTTTTTAACCTTTCATAGAAGAATTTTTCTAATACTTTTTAAAATTCTGCCAAAAGTGAAATTGGTCTATAATTCATTACATCTTGTTTGTTACAGTGTGGATAGGTTTAATTACTGCAGTTTTAAGTATGTTTGGGAAGGAGCAAGGAGTTAGTGATTGTATAAGTATGTTAATGGTTTGATGACATATGGAGCAACCTTTTTTATTAAGAGGTCTGGAATGCAGTCTGTCCCAGCAAATGGTTTATAATTTGAAGTATTTCATTTTATGTTGTTTCTGTGATGTACATTCTAGAAAGTGAGTTTTTAAAGAAAGGCGGTTGTTGTTGGGGTACAGTTGTTTGGATTATTTGTTTGCATTAGTTTGCCAGCTATTTCAGAGAAATGTTTATTGAATATACTGGCTTTTTCATTAGGGTTCGTTATTCTTCTGTGTTCATAGACTAGTGCAATATTTTGTGTTGTTTTGTCATCTGCTAGTAAGGTTTTTTAATTCGTTCAGTATGTCCCACATAGCTTTTGTTTAATTTTTGGATTTTTTATGTACACATTGTTTGACCTTTATTACAACTTTTTTAAGTATCGCTGAATATCGCTTATAGTAGTTGACTATTTGATAATTGCCAGTGTTGTTTGGTGGGTCAAGACCGAGAACATCTATCACAGTCCCTGATTATTCGAAAATTGTAGAAGTTCAACATTTTTTGAGCATCTTGCGACATCTACAATTATGAAGACAGATTTTTCCTTAATTGAATGTGCAACCGCAATATTTCCCTGGTGACACCTTGGGAAATAGGTGAATTTGTTCAGGAGGGACAACAATTTGAATGCACCATTTGTTAAAGGAATTTGATCTCTTGATTTTTCTGATGATCATTTGAGGGTGCTTCAGTGACTGGTAATGATCTGTTTATCCTATTTGCAGGTAAAAACTCGTTGCCTCCAATTCATCTGCATAGAAAGGTCAGATACCAGAAATTCTGAATCCTGCAGTCTTTTGTTAATCTTTTTAATTAGCCAACAATCACTCCAAAGTTCCATGGCACAGCCTTGAAAAAATAGTCAAGCACTTTCTGTTCCTGTTTAATAATGAATACTTTTCGAGTTGTGCTGTTTGCTTGGTATGTGAAATTATCTGTTTAGGATGTCCACCAAGAGCTCTTTCAGAGATTTCATGTTTAAAACAGTCATAAATATTACTTTTGTGTGTGTACTTCATTTAGAACTGCAGTATATTTCCTGCATCTGGTTTCACCCTCTTCTTTTATAAGGAACTTTTTCCATCTAAAAATAAATCACTAAAAGACAAGTTCCAAATAAAACATTAACCCGATAGTACACATGCCTCTTTCTATAGCATCAGTGCATGCACCTTGTTTCACAGACCCTTCTGATTGCAGTTCCCTTAATTCAAATTCCCCTTATAATTTTGATCAAGGGAATGTACCAGGATAAAGATAGGTATTATTTTCAATAATGAGATATATTTTTAAATAATTCATTTCAGTATTTAGTATTTTGTATGCGAATGAAGAAAACTGAAAAAATAGTACATGCTGAAATATTATTTTTATTGCATTTGATATATTTTATATATTTGACAACCTTCATTTTATGCTTTACAAACTGTTAATTAATGCTCCAAACAAATAAACTTTTTGCATGTATGGCACAAATACGTTTTTTAACCACGTAATGTACTGAACGGAGATCATTGCACAAGTGCACGCAGGTGGTCTCTGAGGCCCATGCAACATTTGGATTGTTTCGCCATTAGAAAGGATAAAAATACTCACTTTCTTGGAAGAGGTGCGACTTATATCAGTCAAAGGAAAAGGTACCTGGAGGCAGTGGTGAAGGGAGGACAAACTGCGATCATAATTTTAGAGTGAAGACTTCCTGGATCTTTCAAACCACCTGTGTGCACTGCTGTGTTAAGTAATCCAAGATTCATTCAAGCACATATTTATTAAAACAAGTTCCCAGTTCGAGAAAATTATTTCTTTTAAATTTTCATTATAACAATATATTATGTAAACAATGCCATAATACTAAATAAAAAAAAAAAAAAAAAATATGCTTACTAGTCGCTGAAGTCTTCAAAATAATAAATTTTACTTTCAAGGTACCAAAATACTTCAGGCACACTCAATGTTTAAGAGAGTAAACATTGAAATAACCTAGAATATAAACCAGTAAGTCACGACATCATATGCAATTGTAAGAGCTGATACTAGAGTACTCTTTCTGCACAAATTGTCCCAAGGTATATTTCCCTGGCATATTGATTTTGAAAGTCCTGATTTCATTAAGAATTAAGATATCTCTCATAATTTTGAATAATATATAAGTGACTTCATTTGAAGACTAGAAATTATTATGAAAAACTCTCTCCTACAATAATGCAGTTGAAAGAAATGCAACTAAATTTTTGAATTGTTGCTATATTCAAAACTTGTTTTTAATAAAAATCATACAATTGCCATTTATGTATGTGCTATTTGCTCTATATGAGCTAAAAAATTTAAAGAAAAAAATTGAAAATGTTCTTGACAAAATTTTGAAAATATCTCAGGGTCTTCATGTACAGTACACCCAAAAATTCAAAAATGTCAGTGCCTTCTGTGCAGCCAGAGATCAGAAAATAACCATTTAACAAAAAATATGTGAACAGTTTAGGCATTAATATTAAGTTGTCCACAGATGGATATTTTAAAAAAGAGAGGAGAAAAAAAAGGAAAGAGAGAAAGAGGAAGAGAGAGGGAGTGAGAGAGAGAAAAAAGAAAATCAAAATGGTTTTTCCTTATGTCACTGCAATGCAAAATGGCATTGTTGCTGCACCGCTGAGCTGTGCTGAGCTGCCACTGCCAAATATCAAAATAGGATCGACTCATGTTAGATATCCCACACGAACATGTGCACAAGAAAAGTAAGTCTTCAATTAATCAATGCCACTTGGCTCAGATGGTGTATTCCTTTGAGAGCGAAGCAACCACTGCATGCAGAGAACTGACTGGTTGCAGAAGCAACCCTAGAAATTCCATGTGGCATGCTCCACATTCAAATGAAAAAAGTGCCTTACTGTCAAGGTGCATTAAGCACAGAAATAGAACAGTTTCCATGTTAATTTCAATCAACTATATCAATAAAATGTCTTTTGTAACTTGACTTCTTCACTTACCTGTGTGCTAGTCATTTCAATTTTCCTTAATTATTAATCTAAAAGACAACTGTGAGCTCTGAAGACCCATGCTCAACTAAATGAAGGATTAAAAAGGGTTAGATTTCATTGTAAATAATAAAATAAACATAATCAAAGTTTTATTGTCATTTTAAAATAAATTTGTTTATAAGTAATGGCGATGAAAATATTTAAAAATCTTCATTGTCCATTTCTCTACACAAGTCAGATACTAGTTCCAGCAATAAGAGAAAGTTCGCATCACAATTGGTCCTCTGGTATTGCTCCACAACTTCTTCAAAGCACAATGCCAGATGCTTCAGCGTTTCCTACAATTGAAGAATGTTTTATTCTAAGACAAATTGCAATACTGGTTGATATATTTAAGTTAAGTTTGAAATAATATTTGGTAAACACAAAAAGGACTATCACAAGAAAAAAACAGAACACTTTATAATGACTATGATGGTCATACAATCCAATCTTTGTTTAAAATTTAGAAAATATCAACTGAAACCTCACAGTGGATAATGCACAGAACATTCACTACATGGGCTTCAATTTGCTGTGATCAGCACACTTCAAAGTATAAGAAGTTCAATGTAATTTTCATATTACAATTGTTAAATAGCAACACTTAATTTTTTAGAATATAAAGCAGTGTCTCTTCCCTTTTTGATACTTCTTTTAATTTTGTTGAATACCAATCATGTCAAGTTTGATTTGTAAATCGCCTATGTAAATCATTAGTGTGTGTTAATACACACAATTCTAAAATAAATAAAATAAAAAAAATTGAAGTATTTATGAATTTAAGTTATGATTTAGATTTGAATAGATACAATTTGCAATATGCTATTTGTACTTACTACATTTAATGGAATATAAGGAGAGCTTTCTGTCCAAAATATCTCATTTAGAAATTAGCAGATTAAACTTAAGCCTAGTCGATTGGAATATTTGTTTTTACACTACCTTTCCATGTCAAGAAACTAAGGCTGACATAAAAAGGCATTAAATTTCACACATATATTGATAATCCTTAATTATATTTGCAAACTTTCTTGACATCAACCAGGGATTTGTCTGGTGATTGAAACCAATATTTTTCAATGAACTAGTAAAAAGAGAATCTCAAACATATAGCACTGTAGTAAGTGAAAATGCAGTGTTGCTAAAATTTTGTTACACAATGTTGGATGAGTCCATGCAAAGTGTAGACTCTTCAGAATGCCTAGCCTTGCAGCGGAGAGCCTTGTAAAAGTAAAACATTAACATTGGTGGAAGTTGATCACATCCTACATTCAACTACGGAAACAGGATGATGATGATGATGATGATGATAATGATGATGATGATGATGATGATGATGATAATAATAATAATAATAAAATTTAGTAAAAGATTCCCAAACTGGTAACTTTGCTCTCTCCCTCAGAATGGAGGTGTGGATGTATGGGCTCAAAATACACACTTGAATCATATAAATTCAAAAGATGCACATTTGAATTTAATGGTTGTTAAGAATCGGAGGCCACAGAGATGCACTCAGGAAGAAAATCTGGCAACCCAGAAGGGAATGTTCTAAGGTAGCATCAGATGAAAGACTAACAAACTTTCAAAATGCATAAATTTCAAGGGAAGGAGAGCTAAAAAGTCAGAGAACATCCTAGTATGGGAGAAAAAATCAGAAAGAAGTAATGATAAAATGATCTGAAGATGGGATTGATGAAAACAATGATTTTAAAGAACAAGAAAATAGTAATAGCACAGGTAAATGTTTTCAGATTCTCACGACAACAGTCTAGTCCTTAACACAATTCGTGATTTTATTTTGACTAAATAGTTGGCATTACTTAAAAATTCATACGAGGTCTCTTTACAATCACGGACTGCCTTGTGGTCAGGTAAATACAGTATATTTATTTCATTATGCATTTACTCATAAATGCTACTATCATAATCTTTGTATGACACAAAATGTATTACAGTTGAGCGCAAACATCAACAGGTCTTTTCCATTGTAACAATAAATAGAAAAATAAATTTCGTTACTATCATGTGCAAGAAAATAACCATTCCCCTATTTGCATTTAGACCAAGGGAAGAGAAAATGATTAATATAATTGCATATGGGAGACAGCAGTTAAAAATTAATGAAAAAAATAAATTATTGATTTTTGTTTTCAAGGTGAGCAATTATGTAAATTCGAGTTCAATAAGCATCATAATGCCTTTGTAATAACTGAATAATAATAAAGAAAGAATGTACAATATTTTGTTTTTATTGAACCAATTTACTTACTGAAGACCATTCATGTCGAAATATTGCAACACATTGAGATTCAAACTCATTAGGTGGTATAATGTTGTTTATTAGAATGAAATGTAAAAAACGTGCAGCAGCTGACCAAACATTCTTGCCATTTTCAGATTTATTCAAAATCATAATATTGCGGGGACAGATCAAATGCTGAAAACAATGTGATGTTACAACTTCCTTTGTCATCCAAATACTCAGAAACTTCTCGAGAATGGTTTCCTTTATTAATTCCGGATGATGAGCAACTAAAAAACAAACAAACAAACAAACACATTAGAAAACTCACCAAATTCTGACTAAAATGGATATAAGTAAACAAAAACACTTCGGTAATGATTACAATTCATTTTCATGGAACATGTAATAATTGTGATATTGAAATTATTCTCTCATCACACGTGAGTGCACATACATCTTTGGAAAAGGCCTCTTCCAACCATTCAAATCAGTAGTGCCCTCCCTTCCCTGTCACCTTGCAAATCTTCTCGCCAGGTTTTCATGATAATGGCATCATCCATTCAACTCAAATGTGAGCTTAAGACTCATCCCCTCATTGGCTGAACCCCTAGGCCCATCTATGTTTTCCTCTTAGTGATTGTAGGGAACTGCCTTGGTACCCCATGGAGCTGTGTCAGCTATACTCGCCAGTATCAGGAAACTGGAAAAGTATCAGGAGGGGAAGGATCCAGGCTTCGGGTGATGAACTTTGGTTGGGTCTGTCCCATCATGCCACAAAACAATAGGAAACTGGAAGGGCACCATCCTAGTATTCAGGCTTTACATGCATTTCCTTAGCTTTCTGGACAAACCGAGAATTAAATAGTAATTGTTGAAAAGGTGAGGATATGATAGGTAGTGGGGACTTAACCCTGTGACCAGGGTGGGGCAGTATTTGAATACATATTTTCTATACATTTTGTATCTGAAAAATTATTGAGTTTTTTGGACATGTATTTTAGAGATGTATTTAAATACATAGGTGTATTAAAAAAACAACAACTTAAAATAGTTTAAATACAGACAAAAAAGATAATGAGATCAATTTCTTTTTGTTGATGAATGTTTGATTCTACTGTGGACCTCATTGAAACAAAAATAAGAGCTCATTTCAGCTGTTGAACTAGAATTCTCTTAATTTTTTTTTATCTAAATGTTTAAAAATGCTGATCAATTATCTGACAATGAAAAATGTGTTTATTCCTTACAATACTACTATGTTTATCAGCACCAGTTCAATAACAGCTTTCCTTTATACGAGTTTTATACATTCGCCAACCAGGGGTTTATTGTTTGATCTGTTTGAAAAATTAATCGTTTTAAAAAGAAATTCCATTTATTTGAATAACAGATATTTTTGCTATCATTTTATATTTGAAAGTTTTAGGTATTGTTAAAAAATGTACGACTATCAATTAGTAATTATTGTAATTGACAATTACAATATAGTTGCAATAAAAAAGTTAAAAAGCAAAATTACTGTAATTTGGAAAAATTTCATTTTCAAAAAGGTTTTAAAATACTTTTTTCTCCTGATGTTCGCACTGTTGTCATTTGTCTAGTAACAATCATTTGTCTAGTAAACCTATTTGTTTATCTTCCTCTACACTTGTAATGAATATGAATTGTCCATTTACACAGGGGACAAGTGAAATGTTACTTGAAAGTATTTTCATTTATGACCCAAGAAAAAGAGTATAAGAAAGTGAGATTAATTTATTTCATTAGTTTAGAATGTACATCCAATTTCTTCAAAAAAGAATACTAAAATATTTAGTGTGTGCTTTTTCGTTGTCATTTTGCTTATCTTATTCAAATATTCTGTATACTACCAGCAAATTATATACGTACCTAGTGCAAAAGCCAAATCAACTGAGAGAGAGCCTAAAACACGCTCTGCTGAAGGAATTAAGTCTCTTCGAGACATCAGTGTGTCCAAAATACAATGCAGAGTAGACAGTACATCATCATCCTGTACTTTTGATTCCCCCATTACAACACAAATCATGTTCTAAAATTAAAAATGAAATTATATTCTATAACTGCATCACTTAAGTATTCCACACATTCACAAATAAGATAAGCATGTACCCTGATGATTGTAATTGATTCTGCTGGTGATAAGGCATTTTTTTCTGATAGTTTTCTCCATCCATGAAGAACATGCGAGGATTTTATTGTTTTAACTGAGTTGCGATTCACTTTGTCCACTTCCGATGACAAGTGCTTGGTAAAGAGAGCTTAAAGTAAAGAAAGCAATATTAACTTGAATACTTAAAGAGCAACAAAACATAGGTGCCAATCAACATTTTTCCTAAACAATTTCAACAACAATTTTTTCTTAAAATATTCAATAATTAACTTCAATTAATTACCTGGGGTAATATGTGAATTAATCCAAATGTTAACTCTTTCCAAGCTCAAACGAACGGCTATCTGCACACAGATGTTCGTTATTTCTTGAGGAACATCTTCAGCCAATAGTAAAGGCATTACACCACAACATTTGTCAAAACATAATTTTGGAATAACATTCTGACAGTACTTTTTGAGTTCAAGTGCCAATAATGAAGTTTCCAAAGGTAATTTTGTCGATAGAAGATCCTACAAGCAAGTCAGAAGGAAAAAGATAAATAAATGTTTAAATTCTAATAACAATGTTCAATGTTCAATGTTCATTTCTTTAAAAAAATTTTTTATATAATAAATTTTCTTTAATATTTCTTACATTATTATCTGAATCTTCCAGCATTTTTAGTGCTTTCTGCTTCACTTCAGTTAGTGGTTGACTACAAATATATTTCACACAACTTGATGCAATTCTTTCAGACACAAATTCTATAGTTTTACGAATAGATGATGGTTGGCCCTCCAGAAAGTTTTCTTCAAGCTGAAGCTGCAAAGACAATGAATAGTTAATTTAGAGAGAATTTGATCATGTATCAAAGAAGAATTTCAATGAAAGAGAAGAAATTATTATAATTCAAAACAACTAACAAGAAATCTGGAACTTAAGCCATGACTGGGCTGGGTTTTTTGATTTGCCCCACCCTCATCCCAGCTGCTATTTATCGGTTCCTAGAAGACCTACAAGGAGCTCTCATGTTCATACCACGCCTCTGGAGACATATCTAGTGAGGAGCACCTTTACCCTGGCTGAACATCACACAGGTCAGTCTCTATCCACTCCCTTTATTTGCTGACGGTGTCCCCCCTTGGCCCCATTTCAGTGCCTGTGCCATTGTTCTGGGTTAAGATATCTAGTTCAATTACACCCGCATCTCACACACAGTTGACAAACAGGTCACGAATCATAGAACGGAATTATGGAAATTCGTAGATGTACTATATGAGGATCTTGTAATGCCCGAAGCTACAAATACAACTTAAAACATTTATGTCTCACAGTGGGCCACAGCCTTACAATGTACATAAGTTCACCTAAGTCCCTGTCCCATGAGGCCAAATCTCTTGATCATACTAATAGTAAACGTGCTAGGGCTTTGCAACTTGGAAATGTGATACAACAACCAAAACTAATCTTTTTATACATGCATCCTTTAATGTGCTTTGTAGCTTTGAATATAGTGTGTATCTCAATCATTTTGACACCTTTTGTTTCTATACCAACAAAGCACAAAAATATTGAAAAATCATTCAACACTTATCAATTCAAAGAATGGTTTAATTTACTTTCATATAATATTTGTACTGAGAAAAAGTGTTTTTTTAAAATAAAACAACAGACTTTCTTCTCACTTTTTCTCAATTGTTTGTGCTCTAATAGTAAACTAGAAATATGACTTTCAGAAAATATTAGAAGAATAAAACTTAGTCCTATACGGAAATTTTAATTGCAAATTTGAAGCAATGTTTGGAAAAATATCATTTGAGCATTTCTGAAAAGTGCAGTTTTAAAATAATTTTCACAAAAAACTTTTGAGGTTTTGAATACCTTTGTAAGAAATAATCTGAAGCACTCGTATTCAAAATGCATCAATATACAAAAAAACGTCTATAATGTAAATATTAATATCATGAGAAATATTTCAACATTTATTTGAAAAGTCACAAGAATATTTCAAAATGGTGCATGTGTAATGTTATTCTGCATTTACATCAGCATTGCATCCAAACTAAAAGTTAAAAAAAAAAAAAAAATTAAGAGCCTTATATGTGAATACCTTTTTTTTTTATACTGCCCATATTTCATTCAAAATTATGCAAAGAGGACATATTTTCAAGACAATGAACTTGTAAGCGTAAGAAACGACACCTGTAAGTGTTTGGGGTCACAATATCAATTTTTTTTTTTTACTGTATCAACAATCTTAATCTGTTATGATTGTTTGAATGACAATTATTACAGATTCTGAAGATGATCTACTTCTGAGTTTTTAACTGACAAAAGAGACCCAGAAATATTCTATGAAATATCAGTTCAAAAAACAAAAGTTATGGCACTGCAAAGCAAAGAACAGAAGAGAGACAAAATTGTAATAAATGGAGCAATAGTGCAACAAGTCAACTGATTTCATATCTTGGAAATATAAGTGTATTTAACCACACCCAGGAGAATTTAGAAAATAAATTGTATAAATGCAACAGAATCTGTAGAACAATTAAAAACATTTTGGCAGAGACATGGATGCAACAACAAAACTAAAAATTCACAATTTAATGGCTAAACTTATAGCAAGTACGACTCTGAGACATGGATAATGAACGAAAGAGACAAACAAAAAATACAAGCAGCACATTATGAGATTTCTCAGACACCTTGTAGGAGTTACAAGACTGAGAAACAAGACATAAGAAACTGAAAACTTAGTAGAGGAAATAGAAAACTTTTATAGAAAATGGCAAGATCACCTCAAAAGAATAAACAATAAGAAATGGCAAAACTAATATGGAAACAGTGAACAGAGACATTGAAAGACCACGGAAGAAAAGGCAACAGTAGGAACACCTGGAAGACCAACTACCAGGAATACTGCATAAATAATGGAACTGGCAGTTAAGACTAAACACCAACAGTTCATGATGATGAATTTAATCAAGCTCTGTGGAACCTGCCACAATAGTTTTTGTGCATATTGGGCATATAAATACCTTTCAGAGTAGATTTAAACAAAGGCAGTACCACACCTCCCTCAGCTGTCATATTCTTCTTGGCCGGTTTACAGTTCTGGAGAGCATTTCTTGGTGATTCTTTATAGTTTCATTGTTGGTAGACTAATGAAAATTGGACTATGCAATCTTTATAAAGGTATTTCACTCTACTCTTACAAGAAATTTAAGGGAAAAAAAATTGGAGCCACTTTTGAGAAGTCTGAAAAATCCTCAGGGCTTTCATGACAAGTACTCCCAAAGTTTAGGAACTCTTTTCAAAATCCCAGGGCTTCAAATCAGGCCAGAACAATCCTACAAAATTAATTTTAGAAAGATCCAATGAATACTTTAGGAGCAAAAGTACCAAACAAATGAATTAGATCAAGAAACTGACAGAAAATTATATTCCCATCTGGCAAAGACAACAGAATCTTCGAAAAAACCAGAGTACCTCATCACTTACCTGCTACCCAAAGGGTGAGACAGACCTTAAGCAAAGAATTATAGACAAGTTATAACTTGTCTACCAGTAATGTATAAAGTTCCAGTAATAGCTAACTAAATGTACAGATATTTTCAGAACCATCTGTTGCCAATTAAACTGAAAGGTCATTGTAAAGGTTCCTTGTGTAGCAAGAAAATCATGCATTTCAACAAATTCAGTCAAAATACAATAAAATTCAAAACTCAATGTAAATTATGTAAGAAAATAAAAAATCTAATCTGAGCATGGGTTGGATGATGTCCTAGAAGGCTTGTGCCAGTAATTCTCATGATACTTTCTGGAGACCCTGGAGATTCATCAATTTCATTCTAAATTTACCGAGTTTTGTACGACTATCATAAAGCCAAGACATATCAAGTTACTTATACACAGTGCACAGCACGAGGTAATAACAAGTAATATTTAGATTAATATGGGAATTGTACAAGAGATTCATTACACTCTCTACTGTTTTGCATTGGTTTGATCCCAATATCTAGACAATAATGAAATGTTGACTCTCATATGCTCAGCAGCACAGAAAGGTAATGTAGTAACTCATGGTTTACTTTTTCTCAAATTATATGCAAGGAACTATTCCACTAAATGTGAGAATAGGTTCACACAAAACAACTTTGAACTTTAAAACCAAGTTCCAACAAAGCACAGTTTCCAAATTAAGGAGAATGAGGTGTGTTGTAGCATAACATGAGTTGCAAGTTGAATCTGTTTACTGTTTTCCTTACATCATAATCTGTGTACTCTTTAATTCGTTCATAATAAATCTTTTTGATGTATCCCTGAAGGGAGAGTAATTTCCCAATCAGATGTAGCACACTTAAGGGATTTAGTGTTGATGGTACCTTTTAAATTGTTCAAAACTCACTTTTCTTGCAAGTTATATACAGAGATGATTTTTTAGCTAGTATTAGTTTTTTGGATGTTTGGAATGAATTAATTGAATTTACATTATTCCTATGGGAAATATTGCAACAGTTTTTGACAAAGTTTTTCAAATCGATTAATTATGAAAACCTAGGTTATGTATATTATAAAACACTGAATAACTATTGTGTTCCTAGATATCAGTGTTTCATGAGGATATTTAATATTTTGAGGGAAATTTCATTAATCTGAGCTTTTGTTTGTGTGGCAGAGCCTGAAAAAACTCGACTTGTGTATACACTCTTCTTGAAGTAGATTGTTCATAATTATTTACACTATTGAACTCATTTGACAGGCTACAGTCAAACACTCTCCCCCTAAGTGTTATGTTGATGGTATCTTGAGATGTTTGAAATGGACATTGTTGGCTTGCCCTCTTCCCAAAGCCCTTCATACGGAAATACTTTCTGATAGGAGCATGCCAACTAGCCAACTTACTGGCCGAGTGGTTGCATAACCAGAAGAGACCAATACATTTTCATTGCACTATCTATACCATACATTTGTAATCCTACATTGGTAGGTGATCTCCCAAGTGATGAGAAGAGAAGAGATGAGATTTTAAGTTGCTATTTGATTTACCTGTCTCAAAAATATTTATAATTGGCTGGCCCATTTAAAAGTCATCTTCAAGCACTGTTATTTTCTTTCACATGTCATAGTGAAAATAGAAGTTATTCTCTGGTTAAGGACCACCTTCAGTGAAAATGGATTTATTCTCTGCAAGTTTTTGAATTTCACTAGAAACATTGCACCATCATTAGCAACTGTATACCATTACTAACATTGGGTAGGGAGAATGAGCGAAGGTGCTGCAAAAATAATGAAACAATCAATTCACACAATTATTACCTTATTCAGAATAGATTTCCTTTAGTGTGATAATGAAAATGCAGGGTTTGGGGACACCACCAGTATACTACAATTCCCTTTGTGTTTAAGACACTGTGAGGAAGTTTTACAATACACTGTGTGTGTGTGTGTGTGTAGCTGATAGGCACAGCCTTGATTGGATCAGTTGGGTCATGTGTTAGTTTGTTGCCAATATCTTTATGTCAAAATTGCATTGGTAAAAAAAACATCTGGATGCAAAAACACCACTGCGAATTCTGTTGTGGCTGGCAATGGTATGTTTTCAATTAGTGAACATGATTATTTAGTATATTTGAGCACCCTTCCACTGATCATGTTAGTAGTGGAATACACTTGCTTGACAGGCCACACCTACCCCAAATATCCATTTCCAGTCCTTTACAGTCAAGTGTGATTTTTTTCTTTAAATCCTTCTTATGTAAGTTGTTCTAGAACCCTGCCCCCTCACAAAGCTTGCTGTACCACCTTGCCCCTGGGTGTAGGCACACCACAGTTTGTAAAATCTCAATGTCTGGGAAGAAAACCAAATTTGAGCAAAACTTTTTTTTTCAGGTACCGGGCATTCAGAGATAAATGCTAATAAGGTTCTGAGGGGTGTATTTCCATTGTTTTCATGTATTTCTGGAATATGCATAAACACATACAAACTTAGCTCTAGTAATCAGGCAAGCTGTCTGGCTATTGTATTTGCCACCGTGATCTTACCTCTAAATTGCGAGATGAGGATGGTAAAGTCTGCTCACCAGCCACAAGGACAGGTGTTATATGCCGAGGTGGCATAACACTACGTCCACTGTTAGAATCGGACATTAGAAGCCATTTTATTGCCTCGAGATTTGGACACAGAATCATTAGAGTATCCCATTCAATGAAATCTAATTCATCAATAGAAGCAACAATACTTCGCGAATTTTCAGAATTTACAGCCAATTCACCTGCAAGAAAATAAAACAAGTTAATACTGAGTGTGTGCATAACTAAAACTAAAAAAAAAACTATGACCGCTGAAAGATGTACTTAAGAAAATATAAATACCACAAACCATCTCTGAAGATATAAACTATCATACAAGCAAGGTTTAGTAAGTCACAAATCACAAAATAACCAGAGTTAAGGGTGACATTTTAAATACCTAACAATTGCCTACTTCAAATAGATTCATGAGAGAAGAATCCGCTGACATAAGATGGGCGATGATCAAAGTTGACCCGCCTGCCAAAGGCATCATCCTACATGAATCCAAGATGAAGGATGGTGGTAAGAGGAATAACGACAAAGAGTTTACCCTGAAAGATTTATCATCAGTATTTGGTGATTGATTTGGTGCTGGAAGCTCTCATCTCGACACCTGGGATGGTGCCTATGGCTTCGACTCATCGACCAACGACCTCTGACTCAGGGAAAATTCAGAGGGCACCTTGTTTCCGCCTTGACAGCTTCCATGCAACCGACTTCATATGCACACTGGTATTCCTAAGGGAACCAACCCAGGCATTGGGGATGCCTAGTGTAATGATGATCCACATCCCATGGCAAACACGCAGAGCTCAGAGCCATGAGCACTGGGGACATTCCGAAAGGATCTATTGTATGCAGAATTCGCTTTCTCACAAGAGCAAAGGTACAGTTGCACTCCATTTAGCATGTTATGGTGAACATAGCTGAATATTCAGACCAGCGCAATGGTATCAAGTGAAGCTGAATTCTATTTGTGCAGTGAATAGGTGTTTGAGCCAAATTTACATACTTTTGAGGGCACAAATTAGTTTGTAGTGATGTGTAAAATGGAGGTTTTTTAATAAACCAATGACGTTTGGTAAATGTACCCAACCACCACAATACAAATGTTATTAGGTATCAGAAAAGAGATATTAGAGTCGAACAAACATGCAGACTGTCGAAGACTTGATAAGTGAGCTATATAACTTCAAAACACTTCAGACAACATTTTATTATCATTGATATTAATTCAGGACGTTAATAATGAAAAGAAAGTTGAAAATAGATCAATTTGTGTTTTTTCTTTAAGAAAAACAAAAATACCAGAAAAACAAAGAAAGATGAATAAAGTGAATTAAACACACAACCTTTGATTTTTTATATTTAGTGCATTCTGAGCTTTTATATTCACAAAATTACGCAGAATACAATGAATACAGTTATTGAATTCAATCAACTTACAAAGATTTTGATAACATATAATTTTGTTTTGACATTCTTTTTTAAATATTAGGACCAATCATTACAAAACTTCATCTTTCAACTCTCTCCTTTCCCCATTACATTTTCTTTATCTGTACAATGGCTCTAATTGATAGTTAATGTTCATGTGGCTAAACTGCACTTCGCCAAAGAGAATTCATTATGTTTTTGGGAGGTATATTCTTCTCCCCATAGATAGAAGTTTATTACCCTGATTCTTCAGGACTGCATTCTACCACGGAGTTTACTCAAGGAGAAGTTTTTTATATTTGGATTGGTTTAAATGATTAGAATAACAGGTGAGCATTCATCTTTAATGGGGTATAATGTTAGTTCTTTATTTTGGTAGTAGTTATGTTCTTCGTGCCTTTAACTAATAAGGAAATATCAGTTTGGGGTTCTTTATTAATAAATTATTTTGTAAATTGTAGCACCTGATGAGGGAGATGGTTCAGTCTCCTAAATGTCGTTAAATTAATATTTATTAATAATTTTAAATTTATATTATCTTATTTGTATTAAAATTTTAAATATAAAAGTTATACAATTCAAATTGTTTACAGCATTAACACGCCATCTGGAGATGTAAACCAGGTTTCCTGATTTACAGCCAGCTACTTCAACCACTAAACTACTGACTACCACAAACAATGCTCCAAATGGATTCTTAGACATCCTATATTGGCCTTTATTTGATACTCAATTGTTTTCACCCCTTTAGGATGGGCTATTGACACATACTTTAAACAATTTGAATTATTAAATACATCTGTTGCACACTACCAAGGTCATACCATTGATATTTACTGTGCAGAACTTATTTTGAATGTGATTGCCAATTCAACAAGTTGACAGGGCAGGGACAATTGAGTATACACAAAGTATGTTACAAGGGATTTTGAGGACTCCTTCAAATATGTTCTGAAATCATTCCTCCATGACAATCGATGTTAATTACAACCATAGTTTTCATACAGATGTGTTCCAAAGGTAGAATTTAAAATCTTTCTCCTTAACATTTGTTTAAGGAAAACTTGAAATTTTGGAATCAAATTTCCTTACCTTGAGAAATTAACAAAATTGTACTGGAAACTCCCAACAACCTTCATTCCTCTAACAATCATTGTCAATGCACAAGAAAAGTGACAACTCAAAAAATGTCATTTTGTGGAAGAATGGTTTTATATCTGATTTATATTTGTAGCAGATCCACTTATTTCATGTTAAAAGACTGTTTTACATGATGTCCTGTGATCTATCTTTATGAAATTCTAACTAGTAAAATTTATTATTTTCTAAGCATATTTCTTCACTTGACTCAAAATAACAATTTTTTAGATAAGTTCCTTTTCCTGACAACAAATGTTTTGTTTGCATACTTACTAGACTGACTTTCCTTAATCCACCATGTATAAAAAATGTCTTCTGGCAATTGCGGCCGTTCAAACAGCCAACCCAAACACACCTTCAGCATGAAAGATCCGTAAGGAGAATGATAAGAAACAGAAGGGAGTGTTCGGTATATTGCACAGAGAAGAGAAATGACTTCTCTATAATACGGCAAATTGTATGAAACATTATCCACCATGGACAGGAACTGTACCGTCCAAGGTACTGTCAATGTAAGTTTCTTGCTTTGTATGGCTTCTTGTACGTAGGAAAGAACATCTATAGGTGTTCTCAACTGAAACCAAAAACATTAAAAGCTCAATAACTCATTATAAATAACATAATCCCCAACACATGGCAAAGGGAAGTGTCCAATGACACAGCCATATTTTCACAATTTATTTCATAGTAAAGCACAATTTAAGAAAATCAAAGTTAGGAGCAATATCCTAAAGGATGAGAATGAACAAAACAATGGAAGAAACAAAGATGGACAAAGAAAGGGTTAGGAATACGTAAAAATTCATGGTTTAAGGATCATAACTTTGGTAAACTCCAGGGAAAAAAAGAGAGCAAACTTTTCATCCATTAATACAAGCCTGCCCTTCACAGTTGCCCTAGGTCCATCAGCCAGTCCAGCTATGGGAACACAGAAAACCTGTTGGGGTCATGTGCTACACGTCAACTATAGTTCTAGAAAGATTAAATTCATGGAGATGAGGTGTCACCGTTCATACGATGTGACACTCGTCTCAAACTGATCTGTTAGTCTACCAGGTGAAGAATACTTGTTTTGATTTTTTCTGGATAATGGTCATGGCAGGAGTAACGTTTATAGACTATAAAGACTTTCTTCTTATCTACTGGTTTCATTCACAAGATTTTCAATACAATTCCATTCAGAACATTCTCGGAAACACATAGCAAATGCTCCTTTAATTGCAGAAGAAATCACTATAACAGCAGCTGAGTAGGGTGCATTAGGAGGGAAAAAACACGAGTGAGGAGGGAAAAAACACGAGTGAGGACAGAAGCACCAAGATAAAGACAATATTTTGGGATATGGTATTGTACATCCCCAAACCTATTTTATTTCTTAGGGTTTGGCTTTCAATTTCAAGGGTAGAGTCTTACTGGCAACTTAAAAATGTCATGCTTTTTTCCACTATCAATTGACAATTTTCTCCTTTCAACTAAAAATGAATCCTTTTTAGAATTTACAGCACTGTATGTTCTCAAACTTGCTAATAACTACAAGCAGTTACGATCATGAGCATACCAATTTTTGGTCACAACCATTATTTTTCAGTGGCAGAAACAAAACACGAAGGATCTCTGGATATTGCGCGAGTACTTGACAATAAAATCACGAAGATTGGAATGTGACAAGCAACTTGATACATGGTGCTGACTGTCATAAGGACGGGTGCAGACCTGTTGGTTATCATTTTGAACAAAACTGCCCTGTCAGTAGATTGAATGGATAGTACATACAAACTTTTGAAACTACATAAGTTCAGTAGTGTCTGGCATGCTTTTCTAGCATGTGACATGTTTTCCTCCTTAATCGTCATCAGTTTCACTAATAACATAAATAAACAAAGTGCTGTATGCAGACACAGCAGTGTCCGCTGTAGTATGTGCAATTGTTTTAATTTTTTGCCAGGAACTGGCATTAAACCAAATTTTCTCCAAAACAATTTTTTTCTGAAAAATTGAATCTGAAATTTAACATAGAATCTAAGACATTTTTGTCACAAAAGCTTCCCAACATCCTGTATATCCTGAACTACCTGACTTACCTTCAAACCTTGCCCTGTTTTCCTGATATTTAATTTATTATTATGATTATTGAGGGCTTCAAGTGGTAAAACCAAACAAAAAACAAAAAAATTCCTCTGCATACAACAGCCACTGTTTTCAAATTCTAGACTATCATCACATATACCTTTTCCCTTACCTTACGTCTTACTGAAATCTGCTTTTCGACTAAGGCTGAGGACATTTTATTCTTTGATCGATATGGAAGGAAGAGCACAAATCCAAGAAATTTAGCCAGTAACTGCATATTGTTTACACACGTTACAAATGCTTGCTTGGTATCTTTGTCAACCACTGGACCTGTAATAATAATATATTTCGCATTAAAATATACTCAATTATACAGAAAAACAACATTTTCTTCACTTTTGATCAACATTAAAATGATTAGAGGGTAGTAAAGGCAAATTGAGAGCCCAAGACACTTCTTGTACTAAACTACAGAATACTCACATGCAATCAAACTACTCTATTGAAGGATTTTTCAAAATCAAGATACACAATATCAATAGGGAGTCTATTCTGTGTCGGCCATAAATTATGTTACGCTAAAGAGGGGGGAAGGGGTTGAGGCATGATGTTGCTTTAGGTGTAGGTGTAGGGGGGGTGATAGTTTAGTGCTAAGTAATGCTAATTTTTTGAATACTAAAACATTCAAACACTTGAATAAATTCCGTGGTGGTAGCGGATATCTACAATACCATTCAAACACTTGCTAATTATATAAATAAATCAAACAGTTATTACATATATAAATTGTATATATGTTACAATAAATTGAATTTTTATCAATAGAACATTGAATAAATAATGAAAAATATGTTCAAAACTGATTTATAGTATTTTCTACAATCCAATTAAATTGGCAAAGTAGACTCATGCCTATGTCATCCACAACAGCATGTGTACGGCTAGTTTTCAGAAAATTTCACGACTATGCATCCTTCCTTCACTCAAAAATTATACCCTATCTTATTGTTAAGTGCAGTCAGCGTTGCCAACTAATTCTGAGTAATTACACAGGCACACAAAATAAAAAAATTGTCAGACCCAAAGTCTTGAAACATCTTTCTCTATGTATTTCGGCATGATGAATATGAATCTGATATATGTTATCATTCTCGAATTCTTTTTAAATCTCAAAAAAATATTGTGAAATTGTATTGTTTTTTGTTTTTGGGGGTTGTTGTCAGAACCAAACATGACACATGTTTCTCTATGCATGTCAACACATGAATCTGAATCTGTAGCCAGAATCGTGTTATCACCCACCAGTTTTTTCAATCGCAAAAAACCACCATTATATTGTTTATTTGGTTTAGGGGAATCATTGTCAGACCCAAAAACTTGACTTTTTTTTCTATGTATGAAACCACACTAAATCTGAAGCTGAAGCAAGAATTGCACCACTACCATCCAATTCTTTTTATTCGCCAAAAACCCTAGTGAAATTATAAATTGTAACTGTGTGGGTTGTTTTATGTGAGGAAAAAAAAAAAAAAAAAA